TCGGAGGTCAACTGTGGTTCTGTGACCTGGTTGGTGTGCTTGCTCTGGGGAGATGAAACAGGCTGTGTATGTGTGTGTTGTATTTACCTGTTTTTGTCTCCTCAGAATACACAATAATGGCTGAGTCCTTGGAACGCTGCTTTACCCGAGCCTTACTGAAGCACTTTCCATCTGAAGATGGCGACACTGATGAGGAGTTTCATGTGAGCAGTGAAGACCGCAAGGACAAGAAAAAGAACAAGAATCACAAACAGTCAGGTCCCGAGAGCTTGATCAGAGCCACTGAGCAGGTTCAAAAACGCAAAACGTCTAATAGTGGCAAAGGAAACAATCAACAACAAGAAAAGCCCAAATCCACATTACAACCCCCTCCTCCACATTACAGCAACGGTCCCCCACATCCTCATAACATCCATCCAGGACAGCAGCAGCGTGGCATGCTGCACCCTGCTCAACAGGTTAGACCACACTGTTTCTTAATTTGTTTATTGTTGACAGCTGAAACAGCAGTTCTGGCTAATATCCTTAAGTTCACTCTGCACATGGCAGATATCACTGCAGAAAAGGCACTCAAGCAGAATATTATAGTGTCAAATTCCAGTTGTTGATATCAAACAGGTTATAATCTATTATATATATGACAAATGATGTGACAGATAGAATAAGATGAATGTCACAACAGTAAGTTATATGAAATGTACACATGTAAGATTTTTCCCCTCACAAAGTTCAAATGTGGGACAGTTTTTACAAGGTGATTTCAAGTCATACATTTAAGATTTATGGCTATTTATTATGCCTTACATGTCAGAACTAATTAACTTAAGCATGTTTTACTGCACTGTTTTTAATGTAAACAGACAACCATTAGACAATTATACAACCAAGAGGTACATTTAACTGTTTTTTCTTTATCTTTATTATCTGAATTTATAGCAGAATTTATAGTTATCAATTTGAAATGTCGTGAATTATGAGATTGCCATATATATATATATATATATATATATATATATATATATATAATCACATCACATATTTTTGCCAGCACTTCGGTAAGAGCTTTTTTGTCCATAGTTTCAACGACCTTCAGGACCAGGGATGTATGCTCAACATATGATGATTGACGCCCAGTATCCATATCCTGGGCAGAGACCCCTCATATCCAGGCCTCCTGGGGACCATGAAAATCAACATGTACCACATTTTAACATGCAGGTATGATATCTTTGCTATCTATGCCAGAACTGGCCTCCTAAGGTTTTTTTTATTTATTTATTTTTTTTAACAAATTTCTTTTTATTTTAATCAGGGTTCCCACATAAATGGTCCACATCTTGGAACAAGATACACAGTTGGACCTGATGGTCAACCTCTTCAACCTCCACATCAACAACATTCCTATTCTGGTCCCACTCATGGTCCTTCTCTTGGTCCAAGGCCAATGGCCCTTCAGCCTGGGGGTCTTTGTTCCCCTCCACCTGAAGGCAATATGTACCCTTCACACCAACATCCAGAAGGACAGTCTATGCGGCCAATGGGAAACGCGTATACCAGGCCAGGTGTTCCAATGCATAGTTCCTACCCTCCTTATGGCCCCCATGGCATGAATATACCAAGGATGTGGCCACCCATGAACCATCAAAGGCAACCGACCCCTAGTGGAAATATGATGCAAGAACCGAGTGCTTCTGGCCAGCACCCATACAATCACAACATGATCCACTCTCAAAATAGTACAGGTTTTACTATGGCAAATGGTCAATTTAAAATGCCCTCTGCCAATTCCCAAGGTCCTGTTGGCCAAAAACTACAAGGAGGCCCTCAGGCCTCAAGGCTACATTTGGCATCTATGCTTGATAGTCCTGAGATGATAGCCCTTCAGCAGCTGTCAGCTTCATCATCTCATCATGTTGGGAATTTTCAGTCCCCCCAACAAAGTGGTGGTAATCCTTTAGCTTCTGCTGAACAGTCATCTCCTGAAAAACAGCTCCACATGCCTTCTAGAGACAAACAGCACACCCCTGTGTCCTCCAAAGGTAAGAGTGGTATTATTTGCTATATTTTTAGCATTGCATTAATTACTTCTTGCACATATGTGATTTGAGCACAAAAACAATGTTGTTTATTCTGATAGGTTCAAGTCCAAAATCTGGCAATAAAATGTCAACTGGAGAAATCTCTCTGACTGAGGCTGAAAGTCGTTCTTATCCCAGTACAACAGAGAAATCTGAGCAACCTTCACAAGTGACTGGTCTGGCATCTGTATCCTCTCCAAGCAAGGAACTGAATCAGAATGAAGACAAACATAGACTGTCAAATCTAGAAAAAATCCATGACCAACTGAATTCTCAACTAGGTCCTCCAAATCTAAAGTCTGTGGATGGCTTTTCATTTCCATTAAACAGCCCTCAGCCAATGCCCCATAAAACCCAAGATGATATTCCCCTCAACATTTCTCAACAAATAAATAAACATGCTTTACCACAGATTATTCAGAATGGCTCTCAACGGCAGTCTCAGAATGTACCACCACAAATTCTACAGAATATTCCTCAACAGATGACAGAGAATGTAATTCATCAATATCATCAGAGTGTCTCCCAGCAAATACAAAACAATGAATCTGTTAGAGGCCCACAGGTAGGACCTCTCCATGGAATGCCACAGATTTCATCTCAGGGGGGTCAGCCTGGTGTTCATCAGCCTGCAACACTCAGCTCTCTACCTCCTAGCCACCCCGTATCTCATCCACTTGCTCAGCCGTCTCCAGCTGATCAGGGAGACCAAAGGCCTTGTGAGCCTACCAGCAGGAAAGTTTCAGATGGTAGTACAGCTTCCCAAGATGGCAGCAATGCTAATTTGAGGACTGATTGTACCAGTGGGCAATACAAGCAACAGCCCTTCAGTCCCGAGTCAAAACCCCCCTTGGTAAGGCAGGAGCAAGCACCCCTTCAAAATCAGACTCCTCCAACCCACTCTCAGGGACCAGAGAGCAACAATGTAACCCATTATGGTATAAGTGAGCCAGCACACCAACCGTTTGGCCCACATCATGGTAGGCCACTACAAACGTCAAACCACCAGTCTTACACAAGCCAGGGACTCCCGTCACACGAAAATAATCCTAATCAAAATCCTGCACACTACCCTGCTTTTCACCAGCAAAGCATTCAATACCAGTATCGCATGGCCACACAGCATTCTCAGGGCCACCCAAGCATGCATCCTCAGTTCCAGCAGCAGCAGCAGTTTTATCAACAACAACGACATGGAAGACCTGTATTTCCAACTGAGGAGTGGCCTAGACATCCATACCAGCCTCAACACCCAGTGATGTCCAATTCTTATCCAACACCATCTGCTGGAAGTTTTAATGGTAGGCACAATGACAATGGCATGTCTCCACATGGCTCTGATGGATCTGTTGGGAGCTTAATGTCACCCAATCTTTTACCCGATGGATCCCATAGCAGTTCATTTGAAAACAAAGAGGATGGAAGCCCTGCTAAGCAGGCCAGGACAGAAGAACCTTCTGAACGCTCAGAGAGCCCAAAGGAAATATTGGACCTGGATAGCCACAATGCTACAGCCCGACATCATACTTCAGCCCAGCCGCACTCTAGTTTCCCATATGGGCCTCGTGGTATGCATCCCAGCATGCAGCAAAGTGCTGCTCCGCCACCCCATATGATGGCAAGTGGGCCGTATTCTAGCCAGCAATTTTCTGGTGGACATTTTGCACCACAGAATCCTCATCCACATTTGATGGAAGCTTTGCAGAGGCCCCAGCATCTGCCTTTCTCCCCTGGTCAATCTCGAATGACTATGTATAGGCATCCAAATGTTGCAGGGCACTTCCAGGGAATGATGGTTCCTCAAAGAGCAGTGGTTGCAGAACATTTATTTCGCAGTGGGTAAGAGATATAATTTAAAACTAAGGTGTTCTGGATATCAAAGAATGATTCATTCATAAATTGTACATTTGTATACTACTTTCACATTGTTTTTCTTAACCCTTTTCTTGCTTTATAGGCACCAGATGTTGCGTACAGCCTCTCCAAATGGCCAGGGCCATAAACAAGGAGTATGAAAACTAGGATTTTGGTGGCAGTCCAAGGGAAATGAGTACCTTCTACAGCACAATTACATCCTGCAATATACAAGGAAATAAAGACCCAACGAAATAGATGTTTAGTGTGTTTGTTTGCGTAAAAGGGCAAGTTATGTCAATTGGAGTCAATTGCTCCCCTACTCGTGCAAAAAACTATTGGAGACACCATCCTCCCCTGGCATCAACTTTCACTGAGGAGGGAAAGAACAGTTTGCAGTGCCAAGAAGTAGTGGCCACAGCAGCTTTTCTTCTCATCCTGGTTGGTTTCTTTGGCCACATCCCTAACAAAGGAACACAATCTCCAAGCTCTTTGCATGAGCTTTTACTTTGAAAGTAAAGATGCTAAAATGTATACATGAGAAGAGCAAGATGTTAGTTACCAGTTGGTATTCTGGTTCAAAATTAAACTCAGGTGTAGCAAAGAAGGTACTGAGGCTACTTGAGCTTTTTCAAAGCTCCATGGACAAACTAGACTCTTGCCTTCATATACTTTTGAATGTTCTGTGAAATGATTTTAGTATAGTAATTCAACTCAAAGAATAAAAGGAAGACCTTCTCCATGGGGAAAGTGACAACAAGTGTTTTAAAGAGGTGGTGTTCATCTTAAGTAAAACACATTATCCACTTTTTTTCTGGTGATGTGCATTCTTTTAATGCCACTTCAATTTGAAGATTGTATTTGTTCTTAGACTGGCAGAGAACTCAGCTGCTCTATTTGTTATGCACTAGGAATAGTCTTTCATACTGGAATTAGTGGCCTTGGACTAAAATTAGACGTGTGCTTCTTTGTATGGGACTAATTTCACTTAAGTTGTTTCTATCTCTGATGTTTTGTCTTGTTTCATTTTGATGTGTCCTGTGTTACGTGTGCACAGAATAAATCTGATTTCAGATAGGAAGTAACCATCTTTCACATTTTTAATATCTAGACAGGCCACTAGTAATCTGCAGCTTTTGGGATTCCATGAAGACTGGTTTACTCTTTGTGACCTGATTTATTCATTACTGCCTAGCAATCTCAAAATGTTGTTTTTTTTTCTCCACATATTGGAACGTAAATTGAACATCTAGCTAGAGTCGCAATACTAACAATGTGTTAGATGTGAGTATGTATCAGCCTTAAAACTGACTTGTAAAAGTACCACTGTAGCTGCTTTTATCCAATAGGAGAAATGTCGATGTGCTCATATTTTACATGAATGCTTCCTGTTTTGACTCAGCGTACTGAATATGTCCTCAGGGTGTAGTGGTTTTAATACGGGTATTGTCAATGACTTTTTAGTGACAAAATTACAGTGAAATTTCACTGGAACTGTGATTAACTTCAGTTCCTGTTTGAACATCAGTACAGATGCAGGAACGAGGCGAGCAGTACTTGTGGTTTTTGGAGTTTGTCACACTTGAGTGAGTCTGAAATTGTTTTAAATGCTTTTTTTGTAATGGGCAAGGATCTGAAAACCAAGTAGGATGGTTTTATCCAACTTCATTTCTTCTACTATTGTTGCCCTGCACTAAATTAATCGCTATCATATCTGCTTTGTTTAATGTGTTCGATTAGTCTGTCTGAATTTCTATTTAGATTCAGCTCATACTGACAAACCATTGAAAAGAAACAAAAAATGTCAGAATATGGCAGCAAGAATATCTACCTCATAATGCCAGAATGTGGCATATTTTCCATTCCCTTCACAGACATGTGCAAAAATTATTTTTGTCACTTGTTTTTCTTTATACTCTGAGATATGCTTTTTCCACGATTGAAGGCTCTATCTTTAAAACAACACTATAGCCTTAATATGTCCAACTGTACAACAGTCATTGCTACTTTATTGGTGCCAAGTTTGAACATGATTAAAACATCTCCATTCTGTATTTTCAATTCTGGGGTTCATAACTGTAAGTGTAATGAAGGCAGCATCCCAGGTTAACATTTTGGCCCTCACTTTGCAGCTTTGTATCATCCACATATTGAAGTGGAAAAACGGTTGAATACCTTGTATGAAGAAACTTGACAGTGATTTCTGTGGTACAGTAAGATCTTTTGTCCCTGAAACCTGTGATAGTGCATAATGTCAGACATTGTAGTATTTTTGTGGACATATAAACTGTTTATATGTATTTTATGAACTAGGGATATTAAAATGCTAGCAACTGTGAGATGACATGGGCATTATCCTCCATTTTGTACTCACATGTGAAGTTTTATCACTTTGCCAGTCCTCTGACAGACTGTCCTATTCCACTGTTAATATGTAAAAGGGATAATTTAGTTGTATTGTACTACAAGAATGTGTGGGTTTTGCATTGTACAGTTTTTTATTTTTATTTTTTTTTTTATGGGTATTGGGTCTGGATCTCTTGAAACCCTTCAACATTTCTGCTGTTCTCTGTTCTGTCTGTACTGGTTAAAGAACTAGTTGGTTAAATGTGAATCATATTTATTTGCTCTTATGTTTTTTTGTAAATTTTGTCTTTTTTTAAATATAAATGTGTTCTCATGTTTGTTTTGAAAAAGATTCACTTTACCTCAGTAGTAAAATGGCATCCAAAACGACACCTGTAACTTTCAATATATGAAGTTTACAAGTTCTTATCTGACTGACAAATTATTTTGGAAATGAACCGAAGTATTTTCTATACTGTACATTTCTTAGAATAAACTACGTTTCATTAGTTTCTGCTTGTTTCAAGTTTCTGTTCATTACCCCTTAAAAATAATCCACCTTGTGAAAATTAACCATATAAGCTATTCCATGCAAATGTCAACCTTGCCATAAAAAAACTAAGCCTCATCCAAAATAGCGAAACTGTTTCTACGTTTTTGGTGTAAGCAAGTATTTTACAGTACTTAAAAACTGCTCAAAAACGTCAATGTTTTCAAACTTTTATATTTCATTTAGCAAAGTCACACAAGTGCCAATTTCACATTGGTCACATCCATAACGAAACTTTTACCTCACAAATGCAAAAGTGTAAAATAAAATAAAATCAATCATGTTTGTTCAATAGTCAACTTTTATCATTTTTTATTAGCATCGTTTCTTTTGGGTTGTCCAGTTTAATTCATGGAATTTCTGCAAAGTATGTTGTATACTGCAAACTTTTTTTGTCACATCCATAACGCATGTATATTTTCCTAATTTAAAATATAAAAATATTTACAGGTTGATATTTTTCTGATACCACAACTCTGTGGTTAGTTCTTTTAGAAAATATAAACATATTTCAATTTAATGTTATATATATTTTCTCTGTGTATATTTTGAGTTTTTACTGCAAATCAACGTTTTGTTTTATTTGTATTGTATCTTTGGTAACGGTAACTATTAGTTAGTTTTCAACAAACTAGTTTTCCAGTTATCATGAAAAGTTAATATAGCCTATAGTTATTATAGCTAGCCTATAAAACAATTGCTTGGTTATATTTTAACGTCTCGTTAACTGACATAAACACTTTTTGTGAATATGTTATTATAGAACCACAATATTCCTTTCTTTGTGCTATTAAGTCTTGTACTCACAGAAAAGAGTTTAGTCATGTTTCAGACGACTCAGAAACCTCAGTGTTGGAGATGATAATAGTGAGGTAAATATATCACATTCATATTCGTCACCCATCACTTTTAAAACGTATGGACGTCGTAAAACAAAGAAGAAAATCATGTAATACGTTTGTTAGATTTTAAATACACCGACAGGTCTTTGTCACGCAGTCTTCTGTCCACACGCGTGCACAGCTCAGCCAATGAGCTTTGAGGAAACACACGACGTCACGTTGTTGTGGAAGTCAGTTGCAGGGTAGATGTCGACCGAGCTCTGTTAAATACAATTACTATTAAACTTCTGTTGTAGCGATTCTGTGTACTCAACAGGTAAGTACTTTCAATTAATTCTATTTGATTCGTTATGTATTACGTTGAATATTTAACGTTATTCAGGATAACCGTTACTGTAGCCTTGTTATGCCTTTTTTGGGGGGGTAATTCAGCCCCGGAAGCCCCTTTAGATGATACGCAAATAAATTGATCGAAATTCAAGAAGCGTGTCCGGACGTTTAAGAGTCACGTTTGCAATAGATTATAGACAAAATGTGACAACAGCAAACAATAGACAACTTTCGACTGATGATAATTAGTAGAGTACAGCTCGACAGTCATGTGGGTTGTTTACAAGCGAGTAATTACGTCTGTAACAGATGGTGGCATTGTTTTAGAAGTAACATTATTTGATCGATTTAATGTACATCTTACGTGTTAAATTATCTTTCTCTTAAAATTAGACAAGTTCAAACAGCTGACAGATACATTTACCATGGTTTTGAGGAAACTGGTTGATGGTTGAAACTGATTTCAAAGCAAAACTGTAACTGGTGACTGGAAAAAAGAAGTAGCAGTAACGTTAAGCAAATAATCTTTTTATAAATGCAGTCATTGCAGACATCACTGTCACAATACTGTTGAGTAAGTTAGCTTAAACCAGTAATAATGATATATTTCCAATGACTATTGTGTATGTATATAGTATGTATACTGGTCAACATTTGAAGTGGTTAAAAAAGCAAGAATTTGTGTTGTAACTTATATTATCAATGCCAATATTTTACAAATATTAAGTTGTATTCGCTGTGGTGTTCATCACACCACCAAATGCTTGGACACTTTTAGCCTATTTATTTTCAAACATAAGCATTTTCACACTTTAATCTGGTCAACAACAAGGCTGAGATATTAACTGAAAACTGAAACTATTTTTTTTTCATAGGACTTTAAAATCAGGCTCCAATTGTAGACATAAGTTGATGCAACTGATGATGGAAACTATTTCTAATGCATTTATTTATCTTAAGTCATGTTAATGTCTTAGTTAATGTTTAAACTTGTTGAAATCAACAGTCATGACTGTTTTATTAAAGGATTACTAATAAACCTAAATAAATGTAACTATTAACAAATTAATTTTTGTATTGCGAAAAAGCAAACATTATTTCAGTACAAATTGTTACATATCGAAATCTTTTTTTTTTTTTTTTTACAAAAGAGAAGAAAAAAATAATAAATAGGGTAAAAGGAAATAACCAGAAATAACTTTTATAGAAAATTAGGACTAACGGGATAAAGCACCATCGTTTTAAAATGAAAACGACCTTAGTTTTCAGTGCGCAAAAAAACGTAGCAAAACTTACATCTTTAAAAATGAAAACGTATTAGTGTAAACAGGGACTGAATGCTGTCATTTAAGAATCACAATCAAATGTTCTTATACATCGTCAATGTTGTAATTAAATATTTACAATAAAACCGTATATGATAATAATAAAGACAAACGAAAATTAAATTACTACGAAATAAAAAATAAAATAAAAGGAAGAGTGCATCTACTAAATGAAAGGCAAGATGTTAAGATAGTTAAAGTAATTTATAAAACATTGCAACTTTTCAAAGAAATTTGTTTTACCAGAACATCTAACCTTTTCCAACTTTTGAAAATGTATGGTATCCACAAGCCATTGGGATGTAGTAGTGGCTTATTTGCTTTCCAGTGAAGTAGAATACAACGCCTAGCTAATAATGATCAAGTTGTTTATAATTAAACTACGACAAAAACTTTGAAATCCCAAAAATGTAAAAGTTCCTAGATTGTATATCGGAGCTAATTGTATATTGGAGCTAATACGCTTGCACACTGTAACAACTTTGGCTGAGGCTATCAACTGATGCTCTTTCACGTTGCACATAAGGCCTGTTCACATATCACATTTTTTGCACGCAGAAGTTTATTATTTTCAACGAAGGCGCACTGCTTGTTCCTGGGGTATCTACTCGAAAACATCTAAACTTCAGAATGCCGTGAGCGAACTGCAAATCACGTGAAAAGAACAGATCGCTCAGCTTCATAGGCTACTTTGTATGGAATATACACAATTCTACACTGGTCCAAAAAGAAAAATATCAAATAAAAAATTCCAAACAATTTTGTGATGCAGTTGATCGAAGACAGAGGTTCTGCAGCCTTTGACTAAATTTATTCTCTTTAAAAGGGAAATACTTAGCTAATATGTAGCTTAAATTTACTTTAGACAAATACATTTTTTTATTCTTGTTTTTATTTATTTATTTATTCACTGTTTAGTAATTTATTTTAAGTGTAAAATTGTTACTTAAGTTAAAATGTCAACATTTTTACTTTTAAGTCCAACAAGAAATTTACTATTGTTTTTTTTTTATTTTTTATTTTTTTTACTGTTATTATTTTGTGTTGTACTACTTGGCTACTGAGCAGTAGTAAATGACACTTTAAAATATAAAGACTTTCTAGATTTTTGAAACTAGTAGTGTTTTGAAATTAAAGAATGCATAATAATCGTAAAAAAACCATGAAACCGCGGTTATCCTTCAGACTACAATCGGACAACTAAAATTTATAATTGTTGCATCGCTAATGTCAATATTGTTATAATACCGTATATCAGGATTAAAGCTTAAGCAAATACCACAACAATAAAAATAGTTTTCGTTCTATGCTACAATATGTCCTTTAAGATTTACATAGATAAGTTACGGAAGTGAAACTAGAAGTGACGACAACTCATTTTGGTGGTTTAGAATTGATTATTTCTTTTTAAGAGAGTAAAGTTTTTTTGAGGAACTTTGTGAATTGTATCTTTTGACAACATTTAGTCCTGAAATCTAAAAGAATTTTAGAAAAAACACTTGATACACACTTTAATAATATTAACATCCTACTTTTTACTATCTTCCCAGAGATCTGTGGTTGAATTACCTTACAGACATGCATGTGTTGTTCCTTGGAGATCTGATGTGGATCTACTTGCTGCTTCTGTGTTGTGCATCATGTAACGGTAGACCAGATCCCAGGAAACGGGACGCTCTCATAGGCCTGGAGGCATCTAGACGGACAGGAGGTGACATTACGCTGAACCAGAGAGAAAAACTGCTTGATGGAAAACTTCAGAAATTGAAGCAGCATGATATGGAGGCAGGACAGTTTCCACCGTCCATGCATTTCTTCAAGGCAAAGCGCCTCATTGACCAAAGTCCTGTCTTTAATTTGATACAGAAGATGCCTAAAGGTGCAGTAATCTGTAGTTTGTGATTTGATTGTATAATAATATAAAATATATAAAAGTATATAAATATAACATGTATAAACACACACACACACACACTTTTGTTCCCACTATTTTAACTATGTTAAGATGATAAAGGGAATGAGATGTAGGGTGATATGTTATGGATATATAGTATTATGAGTATCTGTCTTATATTTTGCCTGTATAATGCCTTATAACTGTGTTAAGAGAGGGTGTTGCCAGTTGCAGTGTCTTTGAAAAGTAATACATTACAATTATGTGTTACTTATTTAAAAAGTCATTAAATGGATTAGTTAGTTTTTCAGGCAAGTAATGCATCACGTTACTTTTGCACAACTTTTTTCATCTGAGCTTTGCTTGCTTGTTTATAACTATTGCTTGCTTGTGTGTGTTTGTATATATATATATATATATATATATATATATATATATATATATATATATATATATATATATATATATATATATATATATATACACTTATATACATACATTTCTAATCAAAATTGTTTTATTAACTCATTTCTAATAACTTATTCATTTTATCTTTGTCATGATGACAGTAAATAAATCAAGACACTTCTATACAGCTTAAAGTGACATTTAAAGGCTTAACTAGGTTAATTAGGTTAACTAGGCAGGTTAGGGCAATTAGGCCAGTTATTGTATGACGATGGTTTGTTGTGTAGACTATCGAGAAAAGAAATAGCTTAAAGGGGCTAATTGTCCCTAAAATGGTGTTTAAAAAATTAAAAACTGATTTTATTCTAGCCGAAATTAAACAAATCAGACTTTATCCAGAAGAAAAAATATTATCAGACATACTGTGAAAATTTCCTTGCTCTGTTAAACATAATTTGTGATTTTTTTTTAAAAAGAAGAACATTTCAGCACATTTCTAAACATTATAGTTTTAATAACTCAGTTCTAATAATTGATTTATTTTATCTTTGCCATGATGACAGTAAATTGCTAATAATTCTGGCTAATAATTCTGACTTTAACTGTATATAAATGAAACTGAAACTACAGTAATTTTCATATGTACAGATCATACGCAAAACATCTGCACTTCCTCATTATAAGAAAACTGACAGAAAGTAAATGGGAAAGCAAAGAAACTGAATTAACTTTTTTAAAGGCAACTCAGATATTTTCTCAGAAATAAAGAAGTAATTTGTGACTTTACTAGCTACTTGAAAAAAGAAATCTGATTACGAAACTCATATTACGTGTATTAACTAACAGTGGATGTCATTACTATCATTCTACTGCAAAGCTAAATTACCTAAAAGCTAAACTAACCTTACCATATATTTCATAACAGTGTAACTCCCCATAGGCTTAACTATGTTGATTGATATGATTTATATTTTCAGGTGCTGCACTGCACGTACACGACTTTGCTATGGTTTCAGTGGATTGGCTGGTGAAGAACGTGACCTACAGAGAGAACTGCTATGTTTGCTTCACAGACAAGCAGACCGTGCAGTTCATCTTTTCCACTGGACCACCAGCATCCAGTTTACACTGCTCCTCATGGACTCTGCTCAGATCCCTCAGGGAAAAAATTAAAAACACCACTGAACTGGACAACAGGTAAAACAAAACTTATTCTGAGACTGTAACTGAGTAAGGTTTTGTTTTATATGTCTCAATTTCCTTTACAGTTTTATTCGAAATCTCACGCTCTTTACTGAAGACCCAGATAGAGCTTATCCTAATCAGGATACTGTGTGGGAGAGGTTCGAGCAGGTATTTTTAGTGGCCTATGGGTTGGTCACTTATGCCCCTGTCTTTAAAGACTACCTCTATGAAGGTCTCCGACAGTTTTATGAGGACAACATCATGTATGTGGAGATCAGAGCACTGCTGCCACAGGTATGGATAAGTCTGACCTGATTTAAAAAAAAATCCTAAATTAGATCTAAAATTTAATAAAAAATTTTTAAAAGATATTTGTGATTTTTTTATCTCACAATTTTGAGCTTATATACAATTTATGAATTGAGAAATCTTACTATTCTCACTTTTGTTTGCAGTTTATATAGCACAATTGTAAATTATAACCTTATATTTGTCAGTTAACATTTAGCATATTTAGTTTACATCTTAGATTAGTAATTTAGGTAATATTAAAAAAAATCACAGGAGGGCTTGTATATTTTTCCTTGAACTGTAAGTATATTTATTCGGCTGGATATCGGCACTGGTGGGAGGTGTGTGATTGCATTGGTGTCCCACCAGTGCCGATATACAGCCATATTGCAATGCTACGAGTGTGATATTGCATTTATGCAACAGTTTGACACCATAATCGTGTATATAAACAAGAAAATCAAGCACGAAGAATCTCAAAAATTCTTATATATGAGGAACTACTTTAATCTGCCATTCACATCTGCAGCTTACCGTCAGAACAGCAGAAACCGTTGCTAATTCATCAACGTCACTTTAGAGCTAGTATTTGAATGGTTCTCTAGCGTAATGCCTAAAATGATGGAAAAACGAGTGATTTTGCTCACATTTTAAGATTATAAGGCTGAAGTGCCATCAGTCTACAGAGATTTCCCAGTATTTCTCTATTGCAACTGTGGTTTCACAATATTTACCCCGTAAAAGCCAAAGCAAACACTACCAGATTACCATGGTATAAATACAGCACTACAAAATACAAGAGAGAGATCGACTTAGAATATCACTTACCTGTTTTAAAATGATATGTTCAGCTGTAGTTTAAAACTTCTGCAGAGAAAATGCTATTTTTCTCGCCTAAGGACTTATTATGCGGTCTCTGTCTCTGGCGGAATGTTAACCACCTTTGCTCTGCTCAGTAACAGGTTATAATGGCCGCCGATGCGCTTGATCTCAGGAATTATGAATAAATTTTATATTATAAATATAATAAATATTAATACTTAAAATAGGCACTGTCCTTATAAATAAACTGCATATTTGCAATTTAAACAACTACATTCTAACCTAATAAGCCTGAAAAATACACTGTTATCCAACAGCAGCAATATTTGTCATACTGTAGTGAGTTTATTGATCTGTTGTCTGTTGGTGAAGAGGCTGTACAAGTGCATATATTGCAGAATATTGCACGGCTATCAACTAATCAGGTTCAAGAACCAGACAGAATTATTGTATAAATATATGGCAACTCAAATCTGTCAGAGGAAAAAAGCTTCTCAATTACCTTTTCAAATTTTGTATGGCAAAAATTTGCATCTTTGTAAGATTGTTTGCACTAGAAACATACTAATATATGCTCATTTTTATTTACTCATTCAAGACATATGAACTCGATGGCAGACTGAATGATAAAGACTGGAGTATGGCTGCCTGTCAGGAAGTTGTGAACCAATTTAAAAAACACCATCCAGACTTCATCGGGGCTCGGGTGATTTTCACTGTCCACAGGTGTGATAAACAGCAAATTACTTTAAATACCAATCTGAATCGATAAGATCTTAATTAACCGTTTCTTTTAGAAAAATAAATGCAACTGAGGCGGTGAAGACAGTAGAGGAAGCAATGATACTGAGAAGAAACTTTCCAGATGTCATGGCAGGTTTTGACTTTGTAAGTATACATTCGGTTCGGTGATGAGCATATTGCTGAAATACACAATACGTGAATGAAATATTTAAAAGAAGGTTATTCTGGACACCAAAGTTACATTTATTTGATCAAAAATACAGTAAAAAAATAAATCCTGTGAATTAAAGCTGAATTAATAGTATCTAGCTGTCTTCAGTGTCACATTTATTTTTCCTCAGAGTGCGGCTTTAATATTTTTGTGAGTCAATACAGCGGGGAAAATAAGTATTGAACATGTTGTTTTTTTTATTTCTAAAAGAGCTGTTGACATGGAATTGAACCAGATATTGATAAAAAACCAAACAATACAAACATAAAAATAAAACTAAACTAAACAAATCTGAAATATTAGTTATGTGTTATAAAAATTAATTGACACAAGGAGAAAGTAATAAACTACTAAAACGTATTTAATAATTTTAATAAAAGGCTTTTTTTAGTGATGGCAGTTTAAAGACCACTCTCATGGAGAATGATGTCATATGAATTACTCAGGTGTGAGGTTTTCACAGACTTCCACAAAGTGTAAAAATCTTGATGGTTCTGTGGGTCTCGTTTTTACCTGATTCAAGTCAAGTGATTGTTTGGGCCATATTACAGCTTCATTTTCTTTTTCTGAAAGCATCTGAGAGTTTCGTTGGCTGTGTTTTGAATCATTGACTTGCTGAAATGTCCACACTGTTTTTATCTTTATCATCCTAATAATGTAGATGTTGGACTGAAGCAGCTAATATTTATTTACAATGACAAAAGGCAGAGGGTTGGTGAAGAACTACTGAGAGATTTCAGTTGCTGTCTGGGCTTTTAATGCCTTTCGACACCTCCCTTTCTTCATGTGTTCAATACTTTCCCGTGTGTCATTTAATTTATTACACAACTTAATTCGTAACTAATTAGATTTGTTCTCTTTGCATATTTGGATTTCTTTGGTTGTTAACAACATACATTGAAAATTTCAAGTCAACGGCACCTTTAGAAATATGTTTTCTGAGAAAAATGTTGACGTGTTTAATACCTATTTTTACTTGCTGTATCAAAAGTGCCAGTAAAAGTACAAGTAAACATTTATCTAAAATGTATTCAAAGTTTAAATTAGTGCTGTTACTTTTAAATTTCTTTTCATCAAAAATTGTATATAGGGCCATTCACACCAAGCATAGTAACTATATAAATAATGATAAAGATAGAGATTTTAAAATCTTTCTAAATTTAAAACAACAGCAGATTTCAAACCACAACTATAACGATAAAGACTTAGAGAATATCATTGGGAAATATGAAAATATTTTTTCCCCCGGCTAATTAATGATAAAACACTGACAGCCAGTCAATCTATTGACAAATAAGCTGCAGGTGACATTGAAGAACTTAAACTGATTTTTAAACATTATTTAAAGATAATAACTACCTTGGTATACTAAGTGAAAGAATGATAAAAAATAAATCAAAGTTTGCAGACTAGGCTAGCAAATTGTAGAATGCAAATAAATTTACCTCAGTTATCCAGTGCTAGTTTTTGCGTCTTTGTATTGTATTAGCTTACCTTGTGTTGTTTTTATTCCACCTCATTGACTTCGATCGCTAAACCGCTTTGTTTACATTAGCAGTCAAAAGTCACAGAAGTAGCTCAATGAGGACGTCTGCTGGTTACAAGGGGTTAATACCGAATGACAAGCACCAACAGAATTAACATTTTTATCGTTCGTTATCTTGTCAATTTACTGATATATTTCTGTTTATAGTTGTCGTGTTAGGTGTGAATACAGAGTCCAGTAAAATGATAACAGTTTCCACAAAGCTGTGAAGGGAATTGTTTTTAACAATGGTAATTATAAGAATCATCAATAATGATTGAGCACAATAATGAATGATTAGCAAATCAGCATATGTATAATGATTTCTAAAGCAAGCACTAAAGACTGAAGTAAATTCAGCTTTAAATCACAGAAATTACATTATAAAACATATGTTAATCAAAAACTGTTTTTTAAATATAAATAATATTTCACAAAATATTTTTTAAGCAGAATAAGCCTCTTTAAAAGCCAATTTTAAAATCTTACTGATTTCAAACATTTAACCAGTACTACATGTGCTTTTCTAACTCCAGGTAGGACAGGAAGACCTTGGAAGACCTTTGTGGTACTTCAAGGACGCTTTGAGTTTACCTGAAGACAAGGGTTTTAACCTGCCCTACTTCTTTCACGCTGGAGAGACAGGTTTCCTTTGACGTCTCGCTTCTTTTATCTGCTACAAAGCCGCGCAACTCAAAGTCGTCCTTTAGGCTCCGAGTGATTGAACGTTTGTTCTTTTTCATTGGCTTTTCTGCACAGATTCACAGGGAACAGATGTGGATCAAAACCTCATGGATGCTCTTCTGTTCAACACCACACGTATCGGGCACGGCTTTGCTTTGGCACGTCACCCTGTGGTTAAAGAGATGGCCAGAAAGATGGACGTGCCGATTGAAGTCTGCCCTATTTCAAATCAGGTAGAACATCTCTTTTGTAGTGTCAAAAAATTGAGTTTGTTTACTTTCCTTATGCATCTTTCTGGGCCAAAATCACAATTAGTTCCATTCAGAAACTCGTAAATTGTTGAAATATCTATTTCTGAATATGTTATAAGTAGAATTTCATATTTATATCAGTGCTATTTTAACATTACTGAGTAACAGTTGTAGTTGTTCTTAATATTGTTGCATATGTTGTATTTGTTCTGTTTTCAATAAAATTTTATTATGTCATTTTATTTATGCAAACTCCACACAGAAATGCCAATTGACCCAGCCGGGACTCGAACCAGCAACCTTCTTGCTGTGAGGCTAACCACCGTGTCACCCTGCAAATTTATAACACAAAATTATTAGCCCTTCTCTGAAATTTAAATACTTTTTCAAATATTTCATAAGTGATGTTTAACACAGCAAGGAAAGATTGCGCGATTCGATATAATATTGTTTATTAGCACTACTTTAGCTAAAAACTAACATTGAATTGAACTATACTAAATCATATTTCATTTTCGTTTATAAGAAATAAAACATAATGTATTCAATACAATATTAAATAGCATTTTACCTGAAAATTGTTTTCTTCTCTTTCAGGTGTTGAAGCTGGTCTCAGACCTGCGGGATCATCCGGCTGCAGTGCTGATGGCTGAAGGTCATCCTCTGGTGATCAGCTCTGATGATCCTGCTGTTTTTGGAGCCACGGCTCTTTCACACGATTTTTATGAAGCTTTTATGGGTTTTGGAGGAATGAGCTTTAATTTAGGCACATTGAAAGAGCTAGCTTTAAACTCCCTCAGGTAGGAAATGACCACAATTTAAACAAAAAAGAGACTGTATATGCAAGCTTGTACATTTAGGTGTCCTCAATATTTAATGTGTGCTCTGGTTCTTCATTTATAGGTACAGCACATTGCCAAGTCAAAGAAAGGAGGAAGCTATCGACGCTCTGCTAGTAAAATGGGACAAGTTTGTTTGGGAAAGTTTACTTTGACAGGACGTTACCACATCAGGACGTTTTTAATTAGGAGGCCATTGTTTACAAGACATCTACGTCATTTGTTTGTCGTATTGGTGATACTGAGGTGCGAAAACGCCAATTTATGCTGAGAGAAACAGAATGTAATGCCTTGAACTGATCTGTGCTGCCATCTTGTGGAGAATCTGAAGCAGTGCTTTTGTGAATATTAATCGTGGTTTCAGATTTATATAAATGTAAAGTCACACAATCTGAACGGGGTTAACTACTTAACTACTCAGGATGCGTGATAAACCTTGTCTTGTTGTAAGTGTGCATTAAAGGGAATGTTCACGCAACAATGGTAAATTCAGTCATCAACTTGCTTGAGTTTCTTCCGTTGAACACAAAGAAGTTTTTAGGCATTCTGCAAAGTACCATTTTTGTTTTCAACAGAAGAAAGGAACTCCTGAAGGTCTGTAACTATTTAAAGAGGAAATAGTGAGTATTTTTGGTGTGAACCGTCTTTTTAAAGCTCATCTGAAAAGAGGTTTCACGGTTATTATAATATAACTCCATCTTTGGAGAACATTTTTTACCAAACCTGAGAGAGTTGTCCTCAAATTAAAGACTATTTACCTGAAAAACCATTCAGAAAAGTTTATAATGATATTTGGAAGTGTTCATTACAGCTTTTTATAAACACTGATCAGTAATCTTCCTTACAACATTCAAATTATTAACTAACCCCTAACCAACATTTTTAACTGCGTAAACCCTGACAAGCTGACTTGTTATCTGATTGCGGTTTGTGAATACAAAACTCATATGGTTTAAAATATGAAAGTATTAATATTAATAAAAAAAAAAGTATTGCAAAAACTCTGTGCACCTTTCTATCTTTACAATTTTCCCAAAACTTTTAGGTGAGCCAAGGAATGTTTATATTTATATTATTTTAGTATTTACTTTTGTTTTTATTATTTTCTATTACATATTTTATTTTTTATCATTTTGATTATTTAATTGGTCAATTGATTATTAATAATTTATACTATTTAATCATAGTTAATAAGTTAGTTGGTTATGTTGTTTTATTAATGTGTTACAATTTTTTTTTGCATAAGTAATGTTATGTATTATACAATGAAGGGGTTCTTATAGCAGGGGTTAAACTCTAATCCATGAGTAGTGCAAAACTGATCCAATGTGAGATAAGACCTGGATTAATTTATCTCTGAAAGATAAATAAAGCATTCCTGTTCATTTTTGGTAACTTTATATTGAGTTTTAATGTTGAGCTATACAACAAAATAAAATAAAACATCTATCCAAATAGATGTCATATATAGTGTCTCTCTCTCTCTTTCTCTCTCTCTCTCTCACACAAACACACACACACACACATTTTAGGTGCTTTATTGGCATGACAAATAACTGTACATTCGTATTGCCAAAGAAGTGCTGCGTCGCTGCGTACAAACAAGACAAATATGAGCATAAATTATAATACAGAAATAAAGAAACTAAAATGAAAATAGATTAATAAAAAGAGTAATAAAAAAAATAATGTAAATATGTAAAACAGGATAAAGGTGATGACAATAATATCATCAGTAAGTCCACAAATAAAGAGTTCCAGTATTTGTGTGTTGGAGACAGTGGAGCAGGTCATCAGCCGCATTTCCACTATCAGGCCAGTGCGAGCCAGGGCTTATATCGGGCCAGGCCGTTCCAATCGCCTGGGAGGTTGAGCAGTGTTCCTCAGACGGTGGCAGGAGTGCACAAACTGAGCTGCTAACACACAGCAGCACACACACTCCCCCAGTAAGATGGGCAGTTTCTCACTGTTCTGCAGGTACTCAAAGTTTTTGTGTATGTGTGTGAGGTTTGTGTAGAATTTCTCCCGGACCTCGGAGTATTTTGTGCACTCAGTGAGGAAGTGCAGCTCCGTCTCAATCAGCTGCTGAGGGTAGTGTGGGCACAGCCGCTCCTCCACTGGCAGCCATGTTTGACTGTGCCGGTGTTACACCAAATTCTGCGACCGTCGTATTCTGTGACTCTAGTAGGCGCTGTTCTCACTGTTTAACTTAAACTCGCTCCCACAAGCGGACTGGACACGCAAAAAGCGTACATACTCTCACGTGAACGCGCTCGGCGCCCGTACACATTATATGAGCGCGTCAATATATTTCATCGTTCTCTGTTTACTATTATTTTTCTTGCCTTTGATATATAGATGTTAAGTTTACATATATTTAACAGCCTATCAAAGAAAGCATTTTACTATAATATGACCAGTACAGCGATAGATTCTATCTATCTATCTATCTATCTATCTATCTATCTATCTATCTATCTATCTATCTATCTATCTATCTGTCTGTCTGTCTGTCTGTCTGTCTGTCTGTCTGTCTGTCTGTCTGTCTGTCTGTCTGTCTGTCTGTCTGTCTGTCTGTCTGTCTGTCTGTCTGTCTGTCTGTCTGTCTGTGTAATTAGTCTAGTTTGTTTTAGCCTTTTTTCCCCTGTAAGCAGTTATGTAGATTACTGTTGATCCCTTTTAAATGTTTCCCTAAATATGTTTATAGAATTTCTTAATTGGCTTTTAAATTAAAAAGAAAATTCTTAAAGTAAATGTGGAATGTGTGTAAAATACTGGTTAATAGAATGTACGCACACAAATTAAAATAAGTAAAGTGCATACTTTAATTTAAAATGAAATGTTTTTTATGTGTATATTTTCAAAAAGGTTTAATCTAAGATAACATTTAACTTAACAATTACTTGAAAACTATTAACATAAAGACAGGGTATGGGATTAACATTCTGCCCAGTTGTAGGGGCTTCATGGGGTCAGGCTCAAACACATGTGATACCTCCAGTCACACGTGTCACTGAATCTGTAACGAAGGAATAAGTGTTTTGAGATTGCCATCTTATTTTAAAAGAAGGTTACCCAGGAACAAGGTAATGGTTTTCTGTACGTTTCCCCTTTCTTTTTCCACTTCTATATTATTTTCCCCACAATAGTGGCACAGCTCACTAAGGTCATCTATTGAACCAAAATATACATTTATATACAACTATATGAAGGGTTAATTGGGTCTTAGTCATGTGGGAAAAAAGTTACCATGGAAATAATAGCTTGACAATTTGGCAATTACTTATCTCTAAAATGTAATATTGAATTAAAATTTTCTAAATTTGCACAATTCTATAATAAAAAATATCAAAAGGCAAAATATCTCCAAATTATACCTTTTTTTCACACAACTTGATTATTTTTATGCAGTGAAAAACAAAGTACCAGATTCATTCAGCAGTCTCATGGCATTTTTTCCCTGTCATTGTTCACTGTAGAGATATTATTTGCAAACTGAGACTCTCCACAGTAAATCAAAGTCTTGTCACAACTGTGTAAGACCTCTTTAAAACAAATTGTGATGAAACAAAACACTTTTTTTATATGTGTCATACATTTTCTGTTGTGTGATTTAAAAAAAATCCTAACTTGAAAAAGATAGTAAGACAGGGAAGAGTCTTGCATTTTTTGTTTATTTTTATTTTGGCTATGTCAGGTAACACTTATATATGTATTTTTAAGATAGTTATAATGGTTTTCCTAACTGTTTTGGCATGCACGGAGGACTGTGATTTGGCATTTTGGAAAAAAATAATCTGCATAAACTTTAAATAAAATTAGGTGTAGAATTATCTTTAATACTAGAAATAAAAGCAAAAAAAAAAATAGTTTTTTGCTGACCAAATAAAAACTTCAAAACAAAACCATGGTGTAGATCTATATACTTATGCATGAATTAACACATGGTCCTTTAATATGGATACGATAATAATACTAAAAAGAGCATTAAAAAGTCTTGTATATCATTTTGAAAGATGCAAGTACGCAGTGAAAAGAGAAAGAGAGAGCAAAACTGTCCAGAAACATTATTACAAACCATTTGATTGAACCATGCGTGTTGTATTTTATCATATTTTATTAATAATAATAATAATATTTTTTTTCATTATCGGTTTAATGTTCAAATTAGTGTTTTTTTCAGTAGATTATTTGTGTATGTATTATCAAAATTGTAGTTTTTTATTATCATGTAAGCTGTTTGCATTTGGAGAACATTATTTTTTTTTTCTGTGTGAAATACGAGGGATTAGATACTAGCATTGAACAATTTATTCAGCACACGCAACCAGGGTGCATTAACGAGGCATTAACGAGACAGACAGACAGACAGACAGACAGACAGACAGACAGACAGACAGACAGACAGACAGACAGACAGACAGACAGACAGACAGATAGATAGATAGATAGATAGATAGATAGATAGATAGATAGATAGATAGATAGATAGATAGATAGATAGATAGAATCTATCGCTGTACTGGTCATATTATAGTAAAATGCTTTCTTTGATAGGCTGTTAAATATATGTAAACTTAACATCTATATATCAAAGGCAAGAAAAATAATAGTAAACAGAGAACGATGAAATATATTGACGCGCTCATATAATGTGTACGGGCGCCGAGCGCGTTCACGTGAGAGTATGTACGCTTTTTGCGTGTCCAGTCCGCTTGTGGGAGCGAGTTTAAGTTAAACAGTGAGAACAGCGCCTACTAGAGTCACAGAATACGACGGTCGCAGAATTTGGTGTAACACCGGCCCGTCTCTATAGCCAGCTGATGTCCGCTGAGTCTGTATCTGCTCGGGTTGTTGCTCAGACCTTTATTTATCACTGTGTGAAGATAGTCTGCCATAGTATATTGTCTCTTCAGGGCCAGATAACACTGCGTTTTGCTTTGCGGTTGTGTTTGAGTTTCCCAGTGGTGTGTGTAGCTTTTCTTGATCTGGTGTGTGATCTGAGTCAGTGGCAGGAGTGTGTTCAGCTTCTCAGGAGTTGTATCAGAGACACTAAAGCTCTGGGCCAGCTGGGAGAGTGGGTCTGCGCTTCTGCTCAGCTCTTTGTCCTGCAGGGCTTTATAGTGGTATGAGTCCGAGTCGCTGAGTTTTAAGTGCTTTCAGAATTTGACAACTCTTTTCTGAATCTTTATAATCAGAGGGTATTTGCCTAATTCTGTAGATTCCAGTAATCCCAGAAGATCAGCTCTCTCTCTCTCTCTCTCTCTCTCTCTCTCTCTCTCTCTCTCTCTCTCTCTTTCTATATATATATATACAAGGCAGGATGGATTCATGCTTTCATGTTGATGATGCCAAATTCCAACCCTATCTACTGAATGTTGCAGCAGAAATCGAGACTCATCAGACCAGGCAGCGTTTTTCCAATCTTCTGTTGTCTGATTTTTTGTGAGCCTGTGCGAATTGTTGCCTCAGTTTCCTGTTCTTAGCTGACAGGAGTTGCACCTGGTCTTCTGCTGCTGTAGTCCATCTGCCTCAAGGTTGGACATGTTGTGCGCTCAGAGATGCTCTTCTGCATACCTCGGTGGTAAAGAGTGGTTATTTGAGTTACTGTTGCCTTTCTATCTTGTCTGTTAAAAAACCAAGTAGATCAGCAGTTTCTAAAATACCCAGACCAGCCTGTCTGGCACCATCAACCATGCCACATTCCAAGACACCTAAATCACCTTTGAACTGCAGCAGATCGTCTTGACCATGTCTACATGCCTAAATGCATTGAGTTGCTGCCGTGATCGGCTGATTAGAAATTTAAGTTAACAAGTTAGACACACACAGAGGCCGATATAGGTTTCTGATGATGATATGATAACCTTGGGTAAAAAAATCAGTTTCACGATATCATGGTATTGTAATTACTGCTATAATATAGGTTCTTTTTAAAAGTCTGAGTAAAAAGCAAACAACTTTTTCCCCATTGAACACAGTTTACTTTATTTTGGAAAACATTTATAATATTTTGGAACAGTAAACATGTCAGGCTAAATAATTAAAATAAATAATTGACTGCTGCTATCTTCATTAGTTTCAAACACACAGATTTCTTTACAACACAATAAAAAAAAAAACACATAAAAAAACCTTACATATACCTTAGGAATGGTATAACAGAATGTTTTCCAAACTGGTAAACCTTGAAACGAGTTACCATCCCATGCCTACACACAGTACTGTGCAAAAGTATTTCCACCAAAAAACAGGTCAGGGGTGTAATTTCTGCTGCACACATTCACCAATATAAGATAAGTTAATTATAAGAATATGATAAATGTGATGCTTAAAATTCTTATCAAATGTATCCCACATATGCACTGACATATTCATTTTTTCATACTCACATACATTTTGTTTTCAAGTTCTACATTCACTTCGTTGCTTTCACTTCAGTGAAATTCCCCTTTAGTTCTTCAAAGGCATGTTGAATTGTCCATTCTTGTCCAGTGCATGCTTGCAAAACTAGATAATAGTATGTATCCTGTCCTTGTGCTAATTCAATACATCGGTTTGTCTTTTTGTTTCTTATTTCTTTTCCCTAAAAATAAAGCATTAGCAAAGGATTTTCAATATATACATCCTCAAATTCTTATGGCCAGATTTACTAACAGCTTGCCCCAGCCCGAACTGATTTTGGCATGAAAACGATAGTCTTCTGTCAGTGTTTACTATGCATACAGAGAAGAATAGTACAGAAAACGAGGACACAGCTACAGTATTTATGCACCTGACCTTTACTTTATTTGCACTTCGAGTTTCCTGGTCAGACGAAAAAATAACACATCTTGGTTTACTAATGCTTGCAGTCCTCAAGTTATGGGTATTTGCGACATTATTTTAAGAACAAGGCCCATTTTACAACCTAAATTGCAATTTTCTTGGGCTGATATGGCTAGGAACTATACTCTCATTCCGGCGTAAAAATCATTAAATGTTTTTTGATCTGCATGCTCTCCCTGTTCACGTGGGTTTTCTCTGGGTGCTTGTTTCTACCAAAATCCGAAAATTATTGTTAGCTAACTAAGGTTGCAGGTTCCATCGTTACAAACAAAGTTTGTTGATTTGGCGTTTCTCAAATCTTTCATTCCAACATTCGCAAACTGCATTGCAAACTTATACGCTACATCTAGAATTGTAGTTAGAAGTATAGTTTCTGCTCGTGTGCTATTCCCAGTTATCCCCCCTATGCTCTATTTTTTTCAAACATTCTAACATTTAAAGCTGATCTGATTTTAAAAAACCATTAGCGATCTTCATATTGACAATTGTGTTCCCTTCAAAGTGCACTTTAAAAACATTTATGCCAATTTGAACACAGCCATGGCCCATGATGAAAGCTTTATAGGTGACCTGTTATTTAGGCTATGTAAAATCTCCAAAACAAGGCTCATTTTACAACCTAAATTGCTATTTTCTAGGGCTGATCTGGCTAGGAACTATACTCTCATTCCGCCGTAATAATCAAGGAATGTTTTTTTTTTCACTGCATGTTCTCCCTGTTCGCGTGGATTTTCTCTGGGTGCTTTGGTTTTCCCCACAGTCCAAAAACATGCAGGGGTGCATTTCCGAAAACCATCATTAGGTAACCAAGGTCGCAGGTTCTGTCGTTACAAACATAGTTTTTTGATTTGGTGTTTCCCAAATCCATCGTTCCAACGACCATGCGCAAACTGTGTCTCAAACTTGTACGCTTGCAACTACACCTGTAGTTAGAAGTGTAGTTCCTGGTTGTCTTCTATTCCCAGTTATCCCCCCTATGCATAATTTCTTTTGATCATTCTAACATTTAAACATGGAATGGTTTAAAAAAAGCATTAAAGTCATCTCTCTAAGGTGTAATTTGCTTTCAAAGTGTTTTTACAGTTCAGTTTTAGCAACCTTCAAATTGACAATTGTGTTCCTTTCGTAGTTTTCAGGTAATGTTGAAAACATTTATGTCATTTTGAACAAAGCCGTGGCTCATGACGAAAGGTATAGGTGACCTGTAACTTTAAAGCGGAATTTAGGCTATGTTAGGTCTCCAAAGCTTGTGAAAACTAATATAAATAAATATCTAGCATACGTTAATGGTTTTGATTTATAGTAAGTTATTTATTAACAAATGGGTCTGTTGGTTAGAACATTTCTGCAGTTATGTGAATGTGTGAAATAGCTAATTAATATTACATGGAATATTCTCAATAATATCTGTAAAGGAAACATATATGTGTTGTTTAAATGGGTTTCAACTAATATCCAAAATGAGTGCATGTTTATACTAAAATTAATATTGTATTTTTTAAATGCATGTGCAATAATTTGTAAAAAAATTTTTTTCTCTCTCTAAAGAAGTAGTTACTCCACCTAGCTTAGACTGTCATTATGTAAGTTTTACGTTATAACTAACCTCGTTCAAACAAAGCATCTGCGAAAGAGAAACTACAGATTTTGGGAAACACTCGTCACTACATCGTTCTTTTCCCAAATGACACATCTGAGTACTGCGTTGCAGCTGAAAAGGCTTTCGCTGCGTAAAACTTATGCCAGAATAGTTGGTGGTTCATTCCATTGTGGCAACCTTTGATAAATAAGGAAAATGAATGAATGAATGTTTTTCGAGTGGGTTCAAAGATTCAGAGATTAGTAAATCTGGCCATAAATATAGTGTACAAGAAATAATTTAAGCAATATGTGGTACAACATATTCCATAAAAATGAATACACAAGTCCATACAAGACCATACCTGAGTGAAGTCCCAGTAAATACTAAATCCTTTCTCCTTGGCATATTTACAGTTATATAAAGTCACAGTGCTTCCACTACCAGGATCCGTCAGACAACGATTAGAGTTATAAGTGTGAGATTTAATGCTGCCAACATAAATCTCTCCAGTACGTTTGTAGTAACAACGCTGAGGAAGAAGTAAAAATAAATTTTGCTTTTTGGTTGTAGCTTGAAAGCTTACCCTTAAAATACAGCATACCTGAGGGCCGTAGTAATGACACCCAAAGAGAACAGGTACACTTCCAGGAACAGGTCCTTGATCAATGCAGTGAGTTTTAAGAATGTCATTCTTCAACTGCCATGAAAACATACGCAGCAGCAATTTAGGGGTGACCATAGATCGCCCAGTTGTAGTGAGCTTTTATTATTCTGAAATTGTATCAGAAAAGCTTGTTGCTTACCACACCATAACCCAGTATGTCGTCCCATCTGTCGAGCAGAGGATATACATTTTCCAGATACCATTTGAAGGGCTTACATTTGAGTTTCTCACGTAACTGTTTTCTTTCAGTCACATTACCAATATCAATCCCATGATCCTTTAGGAAACAATTGTTTTATTAAACCGGAATACAAATCAAATTATTAGCTATAATCATGAATGGATTTTTTTTAACTTATTTATATTAACTTCAGCTATTAACTGAATTATTATTGTTTTTTATTTATTTATTTAATTTATATTAACTTCAGCTATTAACCTTCAGAGGCAGATTCCAGGCGATATTCACATTGGATTTATATTCATCCATCCAGATTTCAGCCACTCTCAATGCATTTCGTATCATGAGTTTGCTGAGATCTGGTGAATAAGGCTTATGTGCTCTTTCAACATGCGCAATCTTTGAACATGGCACCACTTCGACACTCCCACCACAGAGCCAGACCTGATTAAGTTATTGAATATGAAATATCAATATCTGCACACATTATTAAATATACACATATTACTTGCGTTACACCAATCACTTACACGTATGCCTAGTTCAACATTTTCACCACCATAAATTGTCATTCCTTCATCCAGAACTCCAATTTCTCCCAGGAACTCACGGTCAGCGACAAGGATACCCATGACTGAAGGACTCCTAACATTGTGGGGTGAAAAATAAAATTAATATGTTTAAGATGATGCCAGTTATTCTGTTCCTTATAGTGACAGAAAACTCTCATTATCAGTCTTGTTCAAAAACATTAATTCCAAAATTACATATTCATATAAAGGTGCAGTTGGTGATTGTCTTCAGAAACATTTTTTGCTGTGCTGGCTGAAAGTCTCTTCACATTCCAATAATTATGATTAAAGTAAATGATCTAAATGTATTTATTTGTATTTGTATAATCTGGGTAAGGCAAAAGACTAAAAATATTTATCCAATTAAATATTGTCAGGTCGACAATTCCCAAGATTCTCATAAGTAGCCCAAACAGTCTGTCAACCAATGTGGATTTGTACACGTACGCACCCTTTTCACGCAGATCCAGAATTTGTGCATGCTTGTGAGCTGCATTCATGTCCATACAAGAGAGTGACAGCAGTAAAAACAAATGCTGAAGGACGACACCATGGTATTTCTTTTAGAGAGGTAATGTTGTTTTAAAACTATTTCAGTCACACAAAGTTTATGTAGATTTGTTGTTTTACAAATCGGTTATATAGACGGAAGTGTTGTTCAGCCACTGAAATCTTCTGGCAAAAGATTGATGCAGGTGTAACCCCAACAGTCCTTCACCACCCAACCTTCTCAGAGCTGGAATCGAACCGACAATCATCCGCATGGGAGTCGGTTGCTCTAACAAAGAGGCTAAAGACCATATCCTCTAGTGTCTGTCGCTAGAGCACCTTTAGAGGTCAGAGGAGTGAGATTTAAGGCTGATTTATACTTCTGCGTCAAACGCTGGCTTAAGCCTGATTTATACTTCTGCGTCAAACACCGGCGTATGCTACGGCGCTGACGCATAGCCCTTCGTCGTGGCCATCGGCGTCGCTGACGTGCACCTCTCAAAAATTGTAACTACACGTCGCAACGACGCGTAGCGTAAGCTCTGTGATTGGTCGGCTTGGTAGCGCTGACGAGTCTGGGCGGGACCGAGAGCCGTGCGAGCGATTGTTTACAAGTGTGGAGTCCCGTGAAGGAGCTCAGGATGGAAAGTTTTGTTTTGTGTTTACCTCATAGTTAAAGTTGTTGCACGTCCGCCAGTTCCTGCCTCATCATGAGCGAGTTTGAGCCACTTGTACATCCCGGAAGTGTTCAGGAAAAGCAAAAAAGTAGCGAAGAAACTCGACACAGAGGAACATTTACACCTCACTGCCCACTAGCGTTTCGGAAGTGTTAATGCAGACCGACAGAGACAGCGTGCAGAAGTATAAATGCACAGCTGCGTGCGTTGCATGCGCCGTGGGTTACGCCAGTCACCTGACGCAGAAGTATAAATCAGGCTTTATGCTACGGCGCTGACGCATAGCCCTTCGCCGTGGCCGTCGCCCTCACTGACGTGCACCTCTCAAAAAATGTAACTACACGTCGCAACGACGCGTAGCGTAAGCTCTGATTGGTCGGCTTGTTAGCGCTGACGAGTCTGGGCGGGACCGAGAGCCGCGCGAATGTCGCGAGCGATTGTTTACAAGTGTGGAGTCCCGTGAAGGAGCTCCGGATGGAAAGTTTTGTTTTGTGTTTACCTCATAGTTAAAGTTGTTGCACACCCGCCGGTTCCTGCCTCAAAATGAGCGAGTTTGAGCCACTTGTACATCCTGGAAGTGTTCAGGAAAAGCAAAAAACAGCGAAGAAACTCGACACAGAGGAAGATTTACACCTCACTGCCAACTAGCGTTTCGGAAGTGTTAATGCAGACCGACAGAGACAGCGCGCAGAAGTATAAATGCACAGCCACGCGCGTTGCATGCGCCGTGGGTTAAGCCTGATTTATACTTCTGCGTCAAACACCGGCGTATGCTACGGCGCTGACGCATAGCCCTTCGCCGTGGCCGTCGCCGTCACTGACGTGCACCTCTCAAAAAATGTAACTACACGTCGCAACGACGCGTAGCATAAGCTCTGTGATTGGTCGGCTTGGTAGCGCTGACGAGTCTGGGCGGGACAGAGAGCCGCGCTATTGGCGCGAGCGATTGTTTACAAGTGTGGAGTCCCGTGAAGGAGCTCCGGAAGGAAAGTTTTGCTCTGTGTTTACCTCATGGTTAAAGTTGTTGCACGTCCGCCGGTTCCTGCCTCAAAATGAGCGAAAACAATCGATTGCACAGGGTGTGACATTTATATGGATACACCTTAATAAACTTATGGGGAATTTCACAAGAAAAAACAATGGTCTGCTTAGTTTTAACATAACTTTATTCTTTCATGAGTTATTTACAAGCCACCTCACATATACTAATGCACCACAAACAGGACGTTAATATCACCAACCATTCCCATTTTATTAATGTGTATTCATATAAATGGCCCACCCTGTATTTTGACTTGTAAGTTCCTGGCCCTAAAAACGAAAATGTAACCTGAAGTTGATAAAAAAAGCTAAACAAATAAATAAAATGAGGAGTAGGCCTAATAGCCTAATGGTTTATGGTAATTTCATGAAAAACTCCCCGCTTATGATTACCTAAAACATACATTTTTATTTTTACATTTAAAATTATAATAAAAAGTTATGCCTGTTGCATGTTATCCGTGCCAAAATTTTACCAACTTTAACGATAATATCCGATTATCTTTCTTTTTTTTTGAGGTAGGAATGCCTTAAAATGTAACTAAGTAACACATGTTGCTACTATTTTTAAACAATAAATGACATTAGATTGTTACATTTAACTTTTCCAAACACTGATTGGGTGATAGGCTATCCGTGAAGCGTGATTACTCGGTTATGCTGATTTCATTGTATTTATTAACCGGTTATATGAATAATATCATCACAGGTTAGGTTGCATGTGTGTACATAGTTTGATGTCTTTCCCTAAACTTTAAACATTTATATTATTTGATATAAAACAATAAAATACAGTTTAAACCACTTGTTTGGCACTGAAGCCATGTCTGTCTGAGTTTATGTAAACGGTATCATTGCTAAAATCAATAAAAGCAAAACATGTGCTTATTATTACTATAAGAAGTATATTACTGCCTTAAAAGTCAGTAACTTAGGCAGTAATGCAAAGTAATAATAAATAAGCGAACATATAGCCTAAATGTAAGGAACAAGAGTGGCCAAAATCAGTCACCGATCAGTCAAAATCCCCCCTCAGTAAAGACATCCTGGCGCCGGGCCTGGATTGATGTGACTATTTTCAATTTCATAAGGGACCTTTTACAGCATCGATAATGTCAATTTTTATTTAGTTTAACATCAAAACATCAGTTAACGGCCCTATTCTGCCTAGCCTGCTCTACTGAGGTGAAGTTGCTTTATTATTATATTGGTTCATTTTTGAAAAATGACGACCTGTGATGCACTCCCTATATTGTTTACCATGCTATTCTGAAATAGCATGTAAGTATGGCCTGGTAATAAATGTGGTTCCTGCACCTTGCCGGCTAAGCATGTCTAAGCATAAAAAGCGCGTAAGAGACTGAGACCAGCGATTCTTGCATGCATGAAATATTGCACATTATGATAAGTTTTGCTTGCTACATAACTGAAAACATGCTAGACATAACAGTTTTTTTTTTTTCAGAACTGTAGTATGATAAAGTTTTATTAAGTTTACTATCTGGCAAATGACATGATCTAGTAGTGAGTCTCTGTCATTTTTAAGGTGCACGCTTTGGACAGCAGAGGAGGGGTTGTGTTTTCAAAGCTATTATGCTAACAGATAGCATTTTGGCACCTTTCAGTCCAGCTCACTGTCCGAATTCAGTCATCATTTAGTTATCTGAGACAAATTTGGGAAATGATAAAAGATTCCTGTAATCCTAGGCCAAAATCTGTGGCGATCAGATCTTTTCCTCATATGAGGTTTCGTCAATGTCAGAGGATTTCAGACGCCTTCTTGCAGTGTGACTTCAGCTATAACAAGTATAACCAGAAAAAAAAAACATTTGACATTTCCCTGCAATTCTTTGGAGTTGTCAGGCTAATTGAATCATCAGATTCAGCGATTCACTTGGTTTTTGGTATGATGCTAGTTTCAGCTGAAGTAAACATGCAGGAAATGTCTGAAACCTTTTGACACTGCTGCTGCCAGAACTTTGTTGGAGGAAAAGTTTGCAGCAATTAAGCTGCTGTCGATGAACATTTCAAACCAACAACCAAAAAACCACAGATTTCGGCCTAGGATTAGCTGAATCTTTCAGGATTTCTAAAATTTGTTTCAGACAAATAAATCGTGGATGAAACAGTGCAGTGTGAGCAGAAGATAAGCAACTGCAATCAATTTGTAAAAAAAAAAAAAAAAAAAAGAATCAAAACGGTCACTTAATCACATAATTAAAATAAATTTCAGGCATGACGTTTTTCAGTTTCAGTAGGCTGTACAACATTTTTGATTATTTTATATCATTTTATTATTTATATTATGTGGATTATTTTTTCAATGTTGCAATTTTATGTTGAAAGTATGAATGTGTCACACCTCAAGAGAATTTAAATGCACTATAGAAAGTCAAAGTGTTTTAAAAGTCGTGCCACTTACTTCCCTGGTTCTGATGGGTCTTTGAGTTTGTACCATTCTGGCCGGAAGCGCTCGTACATGCACCAAAGGCTCCAATCAAATGCATGAGCAGCAGGATTATACTTAATAACCTCCAGTGTGTCAAAAAGCACTTTGTCGAACACTGGTGACAATACAGTTGTCCTGTTTGCTTTAATTTGTGCAAGTAGTGGCTCTGCCCTACAACAACAAAACAGCAGTCAAACTTCATATATATTTATTAAGACCATTGTACTTCTAAGACTGTAGTATAATTTACCATTCTTTATGAACTTCAATGTGGGCATCCAGAATGGCGACCACTTGACCTGTGGCGGCTTCCCAGCCTGACATTCTTGCCTTGGCGAGACCCATCTGCTTTTTGTGTCGCACTTTCTTGATCAAACCAGGTTTGCCTTTGTTAATTAGATCAATATATTTGTCTAAAGGCAATTTCAGATCCTCTACCAAAAAAAAAAAAAAAAAAAGAACAATTCATGAAGAACTAAACCATTCATTAAATGTAAATGTCATTCATTAAATAATGCTGACATGATATTTGACATTTGTGGAATATCCACATAGCAGAATATTAAGCTATTTTCAACTTTGGCCACAGTTGTTTGAGTTCAAGCTAGTCAATAGTGTGCTCTGCTGTTCCTGTGCTTGTTATGTTTTGATCATAGAGTGTCAGGTCTGATTTGGGGAGCTCTTTGTCAAATGTGCTTGTTTTTTTTTAAAAAGATTTAGCTTAAATTTCATACATTTTGGAGAGTGTGGCTTGATAATCTGGTTTGTTGTCCTGAAAATCAGACAGATACAGAGGAGTTTAATTAGAGTTGGATGTAACGTGTTTCAGAAAACCACGTTTCGGTATTGTAATGACATTTTTGAGGAACGCAGTAATGTAATGAATTAATTATAAATTTGTGTAATTTGATTACAGTTACTAAAGTCAATGTAACTGCGTTACTTGTGTTACAATTATAGTTTTTAGAAGAAAAAAAAGCCTAGTTTAAATCACATTTTCTGCTGTAACATCAGTCAATATGCATAGACTTTTAAACTGCTGGAAATCGCAAGCTAAAATGGTTGTTGTCAAGAGTGGTTGCTTCTTCAAGTAGAAATACAGACAAAAAAATGATTGCTATGAAATGCAGTCTATGTCCAGTTTCTAAAGAACTTTTGACTGCTTTTACCATGCTAGACATAACACAGTTTTTTGGTCCAGAACTGTAGTATGATAAAGTTTTATAAAGTTTATATCTGGCAAATGACATGATCTATTAGTGAGTCTCTGTCATCTTTAAGGTGCACGCTTTGGACAGCAAAAAAGGGGTTGTGTTTTCAAAGCTATTATGCTAACAGATAGCATTTTGGCACCTTTAAGTCCAGCTCACTGTCCGAATTCAGTCATCATTTAGTTATCTGAGACAAATTTGGGAAATGATAAAAGATTCCTGTAATCCTAGGCCAAAATCTGTGGAGATCAGATCTTTTCCTCATATGAGGTTTCGTCAATGTCAGAGGATTTCAGACGCCTTCTTGCAGTGTGACTTCAGCTATAACAAGTATAACCAGAAAAAAAAAATTGACATTTCCCTGCAATTCTTTGAAGTTGTCACGCTAATTGAATCATCAGATTCAGCGCTTCACTTGGCCCAACTCGGCCTAAACAGGCTACACTGTATTTTTGTGCTGGATTGGGAGTGATCGTATCTTCTGAATGTGAACAGAAGCGTAGCTGCTTATAATACCGTCTTTTTGTACATATTGCGCATGCTCACATTTTCCATGTGAACGCAGGTGAAAACTGCGAGTCACATGACAAGAACTGACCGATCAGCTTCATTCTTTGTATGGAATATATTTTGGTAGACTAATTAGCTCAGAAAAACAAAGAACACCCAAACACTGGTTTTTCATACTTTGGATATCACTCAGTCCTGTAGCCAGTCTGGGTTTGGGTGGTTTGAAAGATCCACCCCACACTGATAAAAGGTCCAGAATTTGTCCCATACATGAGCTCATTTGGCTGCTAAGCAATTGTAAATTATGAACCCAGTAAAAAAGGCTTCCAATAAATACAAACAATTATAGTGTAATGTCCATTTCGGAAAATAAAAAAAGACTTAATCTAAGTGAAGACATCTTTACTACAAGTAACTTTTATTTAGAATCTTGGACCTTATTTTTGAAAGAAAACAAAATAACCATGTAAAGGTTTAAAAGTAACACATTAAATAATATTATCAAATTAAATTTAATCTTTATATTATTAGGCTATTTTTTGTTATCCATGAACTTTCAAAATTGACTTTTTCTTTACAAAAAAAGATTAGAAAAATTAAGAAGCTCGATATTATTAATATTTATGTTTTTACTTTTTTATTATTCAAATGGCCAAATTCTGACTGGCCAGTTTGTTATTTGCCCAATTAATAACAATAGGCTTGTTTTTTTCAATTAAAAATGTTAACAGACTCCTCTTTTTTTCTAATGACATGATCTAATTTTGTATTTATTAAAATGAATTATCTTTTAAAGATTTCTTTATTCTAAATATTTAGCAAATGTTTTTGGTAAATCAAAAAGTGTAGTTATTATGACAATCCCATAAGCTAATCCAGCTAAAAATAGCTTAAAATTTCACAAAAATGCAGCATTTAAATCTCATAATCAAATATAAAATAAGGTAAATAACTGCAAAAAAGTTCACTTTTTGAAAGAAGGAATCACCCCTTTAATCAGTCTGGATACGGGCCTGTCATGGTCACAGGTATCCAGGTATTTCTTAATGTCTTGTTTTGTTAAAAAAAAGACAGACAGGTTTGGATCAAGTGATGATGAAAGATTTTTAAGATATGGGTCAACTTTTAATTTTTAAACTTTTGAACTTTTTGAAATTGTAATGTTTTTCAGTGAATATTAAATTACTGAAAGAGCTGCAATTTATTTTCTATTTCTTATAGGTATATTTTATGTATTTTAAAAGTAACTTCAAAGTAAAGTTATTAGTAATATCATTAGATTACAATTTTCCAGTGGTAGTTAGTAATTTGTAATCTATTACTTTTAAAAGTAACTTACCCAACACTGAGTTCAACAAAGTAAAAATCTAAATATTGAAAGATTTTTCATGGCAGAAAATTAAAGGTTTAGTTCTACATGAGTAATATTGACTCGTGATTATTTGTGCATTAGTTCATTCATTCATTTTCTTGTCGGCTTTGTCACTTTATTAATCCGGGGTCACCACAGAACCGCCAACTTATCCAGCACATTTTTACGTAGCGGATGCCCTTCCGGCTGCAACCCATCTCTGGGAAACATCCACACACACACTCATACACCACGGACAATATAGCCTACCCAATTCACCTGTACCGCATGTCTTTGGACTGTGGGGGAAACCAGAGCACAGAGGAAACCCATGCGAACACAGGAAGAACATGCAAACTCCACACAGAAACGCCAACTTAGCCGAGGTTTGAACCAGCGACCTTCTTACTTTGAGGCGACAGCACTACCTACTGCGCCACTGCGTTGTCTTTTGTGCATTAGTTACAAAACATACACAATTCAAAATAGAATATAGAAAAGTATGATCTGGGTTTGGCAAAAATACACTGAAATATATTTTAAAATAAACTAATATCAATATAAATGACAAAATACAGAAGCCACAAATGTGTTGAAATAAAATACTGTATTTTGTGGAAATACTACAAAATACTTTTACAAAGGAGCATGACATTTCTTCGCAAACCTTCTTTCAATGGGCAAATTTGATCAGTCCCTTCACTATTAAACTGACTTTCTCTTTCATTTAGCATAAATTTTGTACAAATTTCATAGAAAAAGTCCTGACTTGAAGATGATCTCTTTAATCACTGTAAAAACCATGTAATGCAGATAATGAATTGGTATATCTTCATTGTGTTTCCATCCATTGCCTGGCCAGTGAAACCGCAACAATCTCTTAACTGTGTTATATTTTAAAGGGTGATATAAAATATTTTATTGTTTTAGTTTTTTAATAAATATAGTTTTTGTTTTTTGCAATTGAAATCTTCAATACTTACTGTAAAAACATGATTTCTGAAAACAACTAAAATCTCCAGTTTTAGTCATTTTCATAAATCATGTTTTTGCATTTGTACGCTTTAATGCATATTGAACATAAAACATGATATCTCTAAAAAAATTAAGATATCTCTTTTTGCCAAAAAACTCTTTATATACATTGTGTCTCATATACTGTATTGTGACACTTTGACATCTCTTCAGTACATCAAGTCTGCAGATCAGCCACTGGCATCTGAAACAGCCATTGAAGTATTGTAGGAATGTTGTTTTGTTATTTTCTTTACATCACATCAGCAATCTGTCTAAAACTAGTATTTGTACAGTATACTTATTCTCTCAAGATTTTTTATTATTTCTTCTTTAACTGGAAGAGTCTCAGTTTACCCCCTTAGTGAACACCAGTACCTCACCTTTAGTTGTTTTTTTATTTCTAAAGTTCCTCTGCATTTCCACCTGCAGCACTGAGACAGAATGATTATGTGCTGAAGCCTCCACTTACTGTTCTTAAGGACATATTTTATTCCATCGCTTTTCTTAAGCAAAATGCTTTTAAATTGTACACTAAACTAAATATGCCTGGATTATTGACTTGCTCCCAAATACACCCGTTACATTTGTTTGTTATTTTCCTTATGTGAGTTGCATAATTTCCAACCATATATATATATATATATACCCCATAAAATACTATTAGTTATTGTATTGTATTGAAATACATATTTGAAATACACGTATCATACTGCACATCCCTAGGTATGACATCTTCATAATTTTATGAATCACATAAGTGAAACATAACATATAACCATGTAGTGTAAAACTCACCATTAGAGCTGTTGTCATCTACCAGGACAATCTCCTTAAGCAGATGAGCAGGAGTTTTGTCAATGATGCTCTGAACGGCTCTTTTAATGACTGACAGAGCCTCATTCAGATAAATCAGAATCACACTAATGGTTGGCAAGTCCTTCGGATAGATCTTCAGAGAACATCTGCAAATGTATACCATTTGAACTATGAACTTAGATACAATTTCTTACTTTTATTCAAATCACTATATCATGAAGAGGGCAAAGTTTTCCACTGAACTAAAATATATTTGCCTGTCATCGAGGGGGTATATACTGTATAAGCTATTACGTTACATGAAAACATACTATATTAAACACTATAGTGTTTGGAAGCATATTATAGATAATTACTTGAATTAAACTGTCATAGTTATCATATTGCTGCTGTGGTACAACACAACTATAGTAATAAACAAATTGTTCAATGGCCTTCAGTTTTCTACGCTATAATTATATGTTATTTATTACAGTTTGTCAGTTTATTATACTTCAGTATTCTGTAGCATTCATTAACAAAGAGTTGTACGCATTATACAATTTACTACGTGGTTCAAAAACATGTTTATTAAAAATTACTATAACGTTAGTAAGAAGTCGGACATTTCCTTGCAGCGATTACATGGCAGGGTACTTTATTTGTATTCTCCTGGATTTTGTATAAGTGTGTTGGTGTTTGTATCTCATTTTTATGTAACACGTTAACATATTTATACACAGCTAGTTCAAAAAAATGTTGTACACATGGATTTATTGAATAAATGTTTATTACATGCTGCCTTTTCTTCTTTATGAGCAAAACTTTTGTAAGTCTACTAAAGCGGTTCGGCATTTCTTATTTTGGCCGATTTAAACAATTATAAACAACATAAAACTAAAATATATTGATGTTCTGGGATCTGTTCTTCGTACATGGATTACTCAGTTAGCTGGATTTGGTTTATGACGATTTCACACGATCCAGGATCGTTCCATTCAGTAACTATTTTTAACTATATATATATATATATATATATATATATATATATATCGAAATGAAAGTACAAAAACTGCCACCTAGTGGTGCAAAGAGAAAACTTATTGATATGAACTTTTAGATCGCTTTAGTACAATTTGTGTATGTTAATGCACAATATGTGACTTTTTTAAAAGCAATAATACATTTATGCAGTCATAAACATGTTTTGACAGTTTATATGATGGTGATTTGATGCTTCACAAAAGTTGCAGACGCCTTTACCAATATCAAAATGCTTTTGTAAACAACCAGTTATTCTTTATATTGATTATAAAATGGCTACTATAATACTACTATGATAAGGAAAATCCGCTCTAACTGTAAAAATAAATCAATTGCTTTTGATACATGAAAGGGCTAAGCACGCAGCCCACAGCAATGTGTAAAGTTATTGCGTATCATATTAAACAAAACATTTACTGCTAATTTGATGTAATTTTGCTCACATGGAAAATTGAATATAAATCAGATGATGTCATTACGCTGCTGGGCCGTCAGCCAATTGTTGAAGTGTTGATCATGAATTTGAGGATCGATAGATCTGTCCTTCATAACACACGCAGTGATCTCAGATCAGTTCATCCTGACATTTTAATCTGATTCGCGAACTATCAAGATTAAAAGATTAAAAGATCCAGGATCTGCCAAATTGTCTAAGATCATTTAAGCGAGGTACGAAGAACAGACCCCTGATAGCAATTCCAGTGTAAAGAACCACTTCCTGCCCTCCATCTCTATTTCACGCGCCATCAACAACGTCGATGTGAAAACAACCTATTTAAAGATACTTGTGCGCTGCTGTGCATGCCTGTATGTGTAATAAGCAACATGTATGCACGTTGTAGTATTTTGTTTAAAAAAAACTAAGAAAATCTGTATTTATTCTGAAGAATGTCTGAAAAAGCAGCCAATTTAAATGTTATCACTCGATTAAATGGGCATTAACAGTGATTATCAGCTGATAGATATGGGCCAGTAAAGGCCTTCTGTGGCTACAGGTAGGCTCAGAAGGCTGTTATCATCCATCTACGTGGTTAATCTGCTATAGATCACATACGGCTGTGGTCAGCAGGTAACAAGAATTATTTATTTTTTTATGATTTGAACCTTTATTGATTTTTCTTATTTTAAATAATGCAGATGAATAGCAAATATGGTCCTAACTCTAAGATCCACTCAAAGATCAGAGATCTACTGGAAGAATTTCAGTTTTTAACAATCCTCTGTCTGCTAGCATGATACAGCTCTGTATCCACTGTGATCCAGCTTTATTTATGTGGCTTAAGGCCCTGGGGCCACCAAATATGTATAAGCTTGGGCAAAAGACATACTAGGTCTAAATATCTTTACAAGTCATTCATGCACCTCTCTCCAAAAATATTGGACTTCTGGGCATTGCCATAATATGTAAAATAGCTCACCTGCTTCTGCTTGGCTTCGCCAGCATTCTGGATTATTTTTGCTCTAAACAGTCTCATAGGAGTCCAGTTAAATCAATGTACAATTTTAAACTGTGTAAGACGTGTTCTAACATCTCTAGAACGAGAATTATTTATATTATTTATTAAATTTCCAATTAGTTGTTTTTTGTTAACGTTGACCCCTACCCCAACCCTTAACCCAACCATCAAAGTAATGTAAAAACAGATCTAGGGTGCATTTCCAAAAAGTATCGTTAGCAAACTAAGGTCACAAGTTATGTTGTTACAAACACTGTTTGTTGATTTGGTGTTTCCAACTGCATCGCAAACTTGTACGTTTGCAACTACACCTCTAAAGTTGTTGTTAGAAGCAGAGGTCCTGCTTGTGTACTATTCCCAGTTATACCCCCTATGCCCTATTCCTTTTGAACATTCTAACATTTAAACTTGTAATGATTGAAAAAAGCCTTAAAGTCATATTTATTAGCTGTCATTTGCTTTCAAAATATTTTACAGTTCAGTTTTATCGATCTTCATATGGACAATTGTGTTCCTTTCGTAGTGCACTTTGAAAACATTAATGTCATTTTGAACACAGCCGAACCTCATGACGAAGAGAGCTATAGGTGGCCTATGATTTAAAAGTGGAATTTATGTTACGTCTCCAAAGCTTGTGAAAACAAAATATAGCCTAGCATACAGTAATGCTTTTACTTTATAGTAGGTATCTGTATAAGAATCTGTACTGTATATGACATGGGCCTGTTGGTTAGAACATTTCTAAAGGGTTGAAAGTGTCAAATTGTAAAAGTAGATTTTTCAAAAAAACAACAACAACAACAACAACAACAACAACAACAACATTATAATTAAAAATAGTAATACTACTACTAATAAAACCAATAATAATAATCATCATCATCATCATCATCATTATTATTATTATTATTAACATTATTATTAGCATAGGATTTGTTTTAATTTCTTAATATTTAGCCTCATTTAAATTACAGCTATTAACCTTTTATATGATTTATATATGAGTTTAGAATATGTGTTAGCTTTTTGTAGGTGATTTTATGTTTTTGAATAAAACAATAGAATATGGAATATTCTCAATAATATTTGAAATGGAAAATAAGTAATTTATGTTTAACTAACATGGTTCAAATAATGGATCTGCGACAAAGTAGCTACAATTTTGGGAAACACTTGTAAATACATCAGTCTTTTCTCAAACGATGCATTGTATTTTGATAGTTTAGCCGCCAGTTATGTCATTGTTTGGGTAATGCACACCTAGATGCACCCTAGAGTCCTCTCTATTAGTAAAGCTAGTTAACCACAAGAATTATTTATAGTATTTGTTATATTTACCATTTACCATGTTTACCCCTACCCCAATCACCACAGTAATGTAAAAACAGGTCTGGATTTGGAGTCTTCTCTATTAGTAGGGTTGATTAACCATGTGGATAGATGATAACAGTCTTCTAAGCCTACCAGTAGGTGCAAAAGGCCCCTTCTGGCCTATATCTATCAGCTGATATGCAGATTTAGTGATTTGGGGGCAGTTCCAGCCATGGGGCCCAACAATCCTAAACCGAAACCATTTGTAGTTTTATTTATTTTTTTATTATTTATTTAGCTGTTTTTTTATATCACAAAATCTCATTTTCCATGTTTCATCTTAATGAAATCTCTACATATAAAATGATTTGTTTTCTTAAAATGAATTCATAACAAACAAACAAAAAAAGAATACATTGAAAACAATAAATTGTTTTAAAACTCAGTCTTTAGCTGACTTGACTGCTGGACTGCTAAATGATTGGCGGATGTAAAAGAAATTTGTGTAGATGTTATAATTACGTTAAAATTTAATTTTGTTAGACCCTCACCATACAACATATGACAGAAAGAGATGTTATGTGTATAATTTATACTTCTAGGTATTTATTAAGCGGCTGGAAAAAGCAGCAATCGACATACACAGTATAACAAAAAATACCTTTGTATTCCTTTGTGTTTAACAGAAGAAAGGTTTCAAATAGGTTTGGAACAAATGAAGCAAGCGTAAACGATTGTCCTATTTCCATTTAAGCATTAAAATAACACATTGTGGTTATTCACTGACATGAAAAAGTTTTACACATAAATGACAATGTATTTAAGAGTTTTTGTTGCAACTTCAAAAAAATTTTGTTTTATGTAACTCCTGCCATGCAACCCCTGGTCTGATTCGTAGTAGTCTAACTTAAATGAAGTAACATAACCTGTTTTGTTTATATCCTGAAAGTTTATGAAGCTGAGGTTTTTACAGTAATTGCCATGCAGTGACCATAAGGTATGTAGCATAACTTGCTTTCTTGGCAACTTTTGACAACACTTATAACAAGACCTGCCACTTAAACAACAAAGAACAATATTATGTATAATGGTTAAATAGATTATAAACTATATTAAACTAGACAACAGTATTAAAACAGTTACCTGGGATCTCGAGTATCAGGGATTGTTCTGTTCAATGGTAATCTGTTACTGAGGAAAACATTGTATCCAAACTCCTGAAACAGTTTCTCTGCTTCCATCTGTTCCTCTTCTGTCAGTTCAGCTCCCCAGGTTTTGAAAAGAGCTGACTTCGGATATAACTTCTTCACCTCAGTTTTCTTAGTGATTTTCTGTTTCACAACAGCCTCTTTGACATTTTGGTTTTTGATGTTAATGGCTGAAAATGGAAGTATATTACCATTTAGCCATTGTTAACTGTTAAATGTTCAAGTAAATTCACTTAATTTACCTGACAAATCTTTGTTTCTTACATTACAGACATCAAAATAAATCTTAGATAACTTCATTAATTTGTTTTAATGAGCACAAACTCACCTATTTCATGAACTTCATCTTCTATCCTCTTTAGCCTTTGAAAAAGCTCTATCTCCTCTGGCTTCTGTAATGTGCTGTCATTATTCCTCTCTGGTCTGATAAACGACACGTTCACCACACTGTACACTATGATACCAATAATAAATAACACGCTGACCCTCGCTCCAATCCTCATTTTCAAAATGTCTTTATGCGTTCATGGAAAATAATACCATTGATACGAATGATTATTTATAGAGCTGACTGTCTGCTTTGATTTATATAGTGCAAGACGCTGTGTATGAAAGCAGTGGGAGTGGTTATAGTTCACTGAATGATGCAGGCTTTTTTGATGAATTATCTTTATTTATTTTTGATATTAGTTCTACAAAATGTGTTCACATTCACATAATTGCTAAATTATGTTAAATGTTGAATTAAAAGCTAGTTTTAACACTTTAGATGTTCCATATTATTTTAGATGTTTGAAATTAATTTATTAAAGAAAGCTGCTTTTAAGTTTAAAATGATATTTAGGTGATGCCTCCTTTAAATGTTTTGAATAATAAAGCAGTGATAAACTGTGATTATGCCAGTCAGCACTTTGCTGAGTTTGCCCACAGCCTTCCGGTTGTGAACACCTTGATGAGCTGGTTCATGTTTGTTTACATTGGCAGATTAGTTTCTGCTTACGTTATTTTAGCCGTGCTGCTTCCAGTACATTGATAACAATAAAACAGATGAAATTTTGATTTAAAGCTAAGCTAAATCCTCACTGTTAAATCAACACTGCTCAATGCAGCTGCATCTGAATCCACTTTGGCTATTGTAAGGATGGACAAAAAAGTGTTGTTATTCTCTTAGTGAAGTTTATTTATAAACTAATTTCGAGAGGATCACGAGCTTATGATTGCTAGTGGCTGGATCCGCATTATCCAATTCTCAATGCACCTATCAGACCACTCTTAAGCTACTACAAATACGCTGGGTTACGTACCACTGCTATCTTCGTTTTGAAGAATCCCCCCTTTCAACCCTACTTCATCTTCCTAGATGGGTGACACAGTGACACAGTGCTTAGCACTGTTGCCTCACAGCAAGAACATCTCTAGTTCCAGGCTTCACCAAACCCGCAGACATTTGCACTTTTTCCCCTTGCTCACAGTTTCTTCCCACCGTCCAAAAACATGCAACTTAACTTAATTGACTAATCCATATCGGCACCATAGACATGCTCCTGGTAAGTTATCTCTTAGGAGCAATCACTATCTGTTCATTAGATAGCATGGGAGTTCTCGAGATCTTCCATCTTTCCCCTTAGCCTTACACCTTCAAGCTAAAGAGAATTGGGTAAGGGTAAGGGCTAAGGGGTAGAATTGGGATTGGGCCTAAAGATGTTTAGCAGCTGAGCATGCATGTGTGTGTAATAAGCAGCAAGTATGCACGTTTTAGACCCGTCACCTATGGGGGAATTAACATATCGCCTCTAAAAGTGCATGGAAAGTGCGTGAAAATTGCAAAAATAGCTTAGATGTATTTTTTTAATTGCAAATGCCACAAAAATCACCCTGCACAACTAAGTTAAAGTTAGATTTTGTAACAACAGTAAACTAATTTTTGTTATAAGGTCTGGTTTTGTGGTAGCTGTACTTGAAAATTATAATCTTATTATATACTATGATCATGTCAAATATAATCTCAATTCAAGTGATGAAAGATTAGAACAGTAAACAGAGAGCTGCAAGGCCACACCTGCTTAGTATAAATGCTTAAAAAATTATTTAGTTTAAAAAATCCATTAGAAATTTAAAAGTAATCTAAAAGTAATCAGATGTAATTAGTTACTTTACTTTTGAAAAGTAATTGAAACGGTACACTACTCATTTCATTTTAAATAGGGTAATTTGTAATCTGTAATCTATTACATTTCCAAAGTAACCTCCCCAACACTGCGTGTTGTTAGGACACAATGTAATTCTCTGTCTTGGTGAAATTATAACCATTATGTGCTATCAGGCCCACACGGAATTACTTGTGTATATTTATATTTATTCAGTTTTTAAACTAATTTCAGTATAATTATTGACTAATATGTAAATGTTCATATAGTTTATTTATATTACAGTTTGTACAGTAATATTTTCTGTCTTTTAGTAGAGATATTATATAGAAGACTTGCTTTGTTCACCAAATAAAGTGGATCTAATTAGATTTGCATTGTAAAAATTAAATACAAGTTCAAAAGGTATTACTTTTTAGTTAATATATTAAGGTTTTGGTTTTAATACTCCCAAAATCATTCCACATAAATCCGCAGATTTTTAACCAAATTCTGTGCAGAAACTGCAATAAAAGTCCGCATATTCTGTCTGGACCTATTGGTTATAAGAATAAGAATATAGCATACGATTCTACAGCTATAAAAAATGTCTCTATTAAACAGTTTGACAAATAAAATATAATAAACTAAAGCATTATGAAATTTACTTAATACTTTCCAAATGGACGATCTTTCATACAGCTATAAAAGTCCATGTTGAAATTTTATTGAAAATGTTTTATACCTTAATAGTTTTTAATCAGCAAGTAAATTCAAACTAAACTAAATTTTTATCTATCTCTTTAAAGTAGGAGTGCCCAAAGTTGGTCCTAAAGGGCTCGCCTCCTGCATAGTTAAGCTTCAGCATCTTTCAACACACTTGCCAGGAAGTTTCTAGTATACCAAAAAAAAAGAGCTTGATTAACTGGTTAAGGTGTGTCTGATTGGGTTTGGAGCTAAACTCTCCAGAACACCGGCCCTCCAGGACCAACTTTGGGCACCCCCCGCTCTGTTGTGACATTCTCCTTTGTTGTTTATTGGTTTACTTTTCTTTCAATTTGATCCGTTCATGGCTGCCTGTGTTCAGTTTCCAAGGTTACTTTTTATTTGTTTGGTCATTGATTGATTAGTGTCTGCACCTGTGTTTTTATATGTATATAATATATAGGCTTGTCTTTTTAAGCTGTTTCTCTTTCAGTTCATTGCCAGAACTCGTCTGTTGTGTGCTAGTTTTGTTTGCTTATAATTATGAAAGAGAAGTTTGCGTTTATTTTGGTTTCAAGACCAACATTTTAATTTTGTGTTTCTCCTGCCAAGCATCACATAGACGTTTTCATCACATTTTGTTCAAATGCAATAAATCAAAAAGCAATAAAATCAAAGAAAAAAAAAAGCCTTTCAAAACAAGCAATCTCAAAAGTGTGGGCTTTGTGAATGATTTAGGTTTTGTTATATCTGCATGCTTTGTATCACCTTTGTCTGAAGTAAGAAGGAAATATGGTGACGTAACTTTAACCAAGGGCTGCACGTGGCTCAGTGGTAAGTACTGTCACCTGACCTATGTGCAACTTTAAAAAGTTAAAGAAAGTATAGACGGTTTTATCATGCCTGATGCTTGACTTTGCATTGATTTTGTCTGGTATGTCAGATACACCTAAACATCAACATTAAAAATATGCAAAACATTATGAAATCCAAGGTGACCCAGAACTTGTCAAACACCACATTAACCTCAACATTTGCCTCAAGGCAGTGGCATTCCTTAGTTAAGTGTCTTCACACATATATAGGAACTTTCTGTTAGCATTTACTGCCAATGGAACTTAAAGGTGTAGTAGGTGATTGTTTTCAAAAGCAGTTTTTGTTGTGATGGTTGAAAGTCTCTTAACAGTCTAATAGTAATGATTACAGTAAATGATATAAGTGTATTTATATGTATTTTTTTATATTTTGGGTAAGGCATAAAACAAAAAAATGTTCATCCAATTAAATAAAATCGGGCCGACATCTCCCATAATTCCGATAAGTGGCTCAATCTGTCTGTCAGCAAAAGCAGATTTAAATAACTGTGCAGCCGTTTGTACGCAGCTCCGCCTACCGCTGCGAGAGAGAGAACTCGCGCGCACGATCTGCAAAAACATGCCGAATCAAAACTTTTTCAAAACCTGACTCAATATTGGATTTACCTTTGCGGGCTGGAGAAAGGATGACACCATGTCTAAAGGGTTTCTCTTAGACAGGTAATGTTCTGTTTTAAAACTGTTTTAACTTCATGGAAAGCTAATGTAACGTTAGATGTTGTTTTTACAAATGGGTTATATCTTCACAGAAGTGTTGCTCAGTTACTAAAATCTTTTGAGAAAAAATTGATAAGACTATTTTTTAGTTTCATAAGGGATCTTTTACAGCATCGTGATGTAGATTTTAATTAGTTTAACAACAAAACATAGTAAATACCGCTATTCCTCCTAGTCTCTCCCTATATTGTTTACCATGCAACTCCAAATATTTGCTCTGAAATAGCATGTCAGTTTGGCTTGTGTAGGGAAATTAGCTCAGTTTATGAATATTAATAATCAATAATAACAAGTTATTATCAATCATTAATATTCCGGCTTAACCTTCTGTCAATTTGGTTAAACAAATATATAATTGTATATGGTTCCGCCCGCTCAGCCGAGCGGACTCTCAGGTTATGAATATTAATTATCAACAATAACAAACTATTATTAATCATTAACATTCTGGATTAATTTATTGCTAATTTGAACAAATAAATATAACCAGAACTCGCTGCTCGCTCGCTGCTCGCTAAATGAAGGATCTATTCATTTAGAAAGGCAATTATTACTACTTGTGAAGTAGATTAATCATGTATAAGTTTTGATCAACTTACTAGCAGCTAGGCAAGGGAATCTATAATTTCAGTGACTTTTTCTGTGAGGAAATGAATGCAATCAATTTGATTAAAATGGGGTTTATCGACTAATCTGACATATAATGAACAAACGCACAAACATAACATAAAACATAGAACAACTGCATACTGAATGTAGATAGGCTATATAGGGTCTATAGAACATATAACAGACAGAAACAGAATAGCGTGGAAATAGAGAGTTCAGATAAAGAGTGACAAATCTACAGTTACACGCACTATTAAGGATCACCGAGATTATAAAAAAACACCTTTTTGATAAAGGGGCACAGCTTATTCACATAGCTAAAATACCTGAAGTTTAGGGTTTGCGGTCTCTCTCTCTTTGCGAGTTTCTTCCCATGTGCTGGAAGTCCCTTTAATGTCCTTCCTTGATGCGTGGAGTTTGCAATACAGGTCACAGGAAACGCGATTGCAACTTAAACAGAGTTTACTTTGCTGGAAAAATAAGAAAATGTGTGCTCGGATGAGCCACGCGGGTACAGGAGAGCCTTTCGCCCACTCAAGGGGGCGACCTCTTGGAGAGTTCTTTTTCGGACGTTCTGCGCTGATTTTTAGGAGCAGATGGGTTTTAACTGTGGGCCACGTTACACCCCTTTCTGCATGCTCGACCAATGATTTCAGGGCAAAGTTTGAGCGCAAAACTTTCCTTTGTCTCTAGGCTGCTTATATGCAAATTGAGGGTCCTCCCGCAGCCTAAGGATGGTCTTTAATTCAGGGCATTAAAGAATGCATGTTGTACGAGTTATTATCATGCGCTTCGCATCTTGTGTTGTAAAATGTCAGGAGGAGTTTATCGGTACCAAACACTGCAGTTTTAAAAGGTACATCAACATAATTCCCACATCCTTACATTATTGATGCTTTAAAAAGGCCTAAAAGTACAAGGCATACAGGTTATATGAGGGATTATACATGTAAGAAAAGTCAGAGATGAAATACAAAGTTTACAAAACATAACATTTATTTTTGGGCTGATCCAGGATTTCTGAGTTCCTTTTCAGCGTTGAGAGCCTAGTGTGTGTGTGTGTGTGTGTGTGTGTGTGTGTGTGTGGAAGGAGGGAGGGAGACAGGAATGTCTTTGAAGTTCTAGTCACCCATCTATGGCTTACCTCTAGAGGTGTCACAGAGACACAAACTTTGTGGCACCAGAAGTCGTAAACTCACGCAGAGGAGACTCAGACCCCTTTATAAAATCAATACGTAGTTTTGTCTATGGACTGTACGCTACACTTGCACGCCACCGGACAAGCACTAGTCGCTTTTAGCACATGAGAGAGGGTTCTTTTGCGGTGCTCGTGTTTCAGGAGGTGTGGCTCTAGACGGCAGGGGAGGGACTGTGATTCAGAGATTTATGCTAAGCTGTTAGCAATGTGGAAGATCACCTACTGCACCTTTAAAGGTTAAAAGCAACATTATCAATGCCGTAAAAGGTCTCTAATGAAACTGAAAATAGTTTTATCAATCTTTCATCTGAAGATTTTAGTGCCTGAGCAACACTTCTGTGAAGATATAACCCAATTGTAACAACAACCTCTAACATCACACTAGCTTTGCGTGAAGCTAAAACAGTTAAAAAAACAGTACATTAAAGTTACCTGTCTACGAGAAATCCTTCAAACATGTTGTCATTATTTCTCCAGTATGCAAAGGTAACTATAATATTGATTCAAGTTTTTAAAAAGTTTTGATTTAGCAGGTTTTTACTGATCGCTCGTAAACACGCAGCAGTCTGCGGAGCTGTGTCAAAAGGCTACGTGGTTGTTCAAATCTGACAGACAGTTTGGCCTACTTATTGGAATTATGAGAGATGTCGGCCCGACTCCTTTTAATTGAATGAACATTTTTTAGTTTTATGCCTTACCCAAAATATAAAAATACATATAAATACATTTAGATCATTTACTTTAATCGATACAATTAGAATGTGAAGAGACGTTCAACCAGCACAACTAAAAATGCTTCTGAAGACAATCACCTACTGCACCTTCAACATTTAACTTGTAACATGTAACATCAACACACTAGATGTAGAATTACTAATTTTATGGTGGTTTGGTTTATCTATATTAGCCAGTCTCTTTTCATCTCAGCCAATAGTGAAAGTTTGGGTGTGGCTGCAATAACAGGCTGATTCCTGAGAGGGTTTAAACATACACTCACTGGCCACTTTTTTAGGTACACCTGTCCAAATGCTCAACACAAATTTCTAATCAGTCAATCACATGGCAGCAACTCAATGCATTTAGGCATGTAGACATGGTCAAGACCATCTGCTGCAGTTCAAACCAAGCATCAGAATGGGGAAGATAGGTGATTTAAGTGACTTTGAATGTGGCAGGGTTATTGGTGCCGGATGGGCTGATCTGAGTATTTCAGAAAATGCTGATTTACTGAGATTTTCATGCACAACCATCTTTAGGGTTTATAGACAATGGTCTGAAAAAGAGAAAAGATCCAGTGAGCAGCAATTCTGTGTTTTGTTGGTGCCTGCCAGAGATCAGAAGAGAATGGCCAGACTGGTTCCAGTTGAAAGAAAGGCAAAATTAACTCAAATAACCACTTGTTACAATCGGGGTATGCAGAAGAGCATCTCTGAATGCACAACACGTCAAACAATGCACTGAATAGAAGCAAGTGAAGTCACTGTGAGGGGTATGGCTAGGGGTGGGGTTAGGTAAGCCTATTAAAAAGCATTGGAGGCAGCTCAGACTGCACTGCACCAGGTCTGCATCCAGACCCCTCTCGCCATTCCTGAGACACACTGGGTGCCACTCTCCTAAAAACAGGAAACTGAGGCTCAGTTCACACAGGCTCACCAAAATTGGACAATAGAAGATTGGAAAAAGGTCACCAGATCTAATTTCAATAGTGCACTTTTGGGATGTTGTGGAACGGGAGATTTGCATTCTGGATGTGCAGCCGTTAAATTGCAGCAGCAAATGCAACTGCATGATGCCAAGATGGAAAAGGGATCAGTATGTGGCACACACACACACACACACACACACACACACACACACACACACACACATATATATATATATATATATATATAAATATATATATATATGCCACTTACTGATCCCTTTTCCATCCTGGAACATGTTTGCTCTCATTGGGTTTTTCCAAGATGCAACATCACTGCACATCCTTAGGAATTCAAGATTCACATTCCCCCAAAAGATTAAATTCAATTCAATTCAGCTTTATTTGTATAGCGCTTTTACAATGTAGATTGTGTCAAAGCAGCTTCACATAAATGGTCATAGTAACTGGAACAGTGTAGTTCAGTTTTTAGTGTTTAAGTTCAGTTCAGTTCAGTTTAGCTCAGTTCAGTGTGATTGAATCATTACTGAGAGTTCAAACACTGAAGAGCAAAAGATTGGTTAACTTTTTGAGAATGTGCTGATTTGTATTTTACGCACATCCAATTAATTTATTACATGGCTCTCTGGAATACTGATATTCTTACTTGTCAGTCGAAGCATTCAAACAAAGACATATTGTTTCAAGATAACAACCACTGAAAATAGTAACACAGACTCATCTTGTTACTTCGAATCATCTTGACCCTCAGTCAGTACATTTACATCCATATACATACATCCACATTCATATGTATATGCTTCTCTGTTTTGCCATTGACTATTTGATTGTTATAGTCCTGACTATTTTGACTATTTGGTGCCATCTTGTCTCTGAATAATACGTAGGTTAGGGTATGCACTACTCAAAGCATTGATTAACTAATAAAGCTCAGTACTATATTTCGTGTCAAATTTTTACATTTTGTGGCAAGTAGCTGTGTAATAAGTGGGACAAGCTATTTGTCTTTCTGTACCAAATGCAATGTGGAAAACAGAACAGAAAAATTTAAATTCCAAAGCAATGATAGATTATAATCTTATGAATACATATTTAACATTGTTAAAATACATAGGCTGAGTGACTGATGTTGTTTTCAGTGACAGACAGTTCTGACTTTCATTTTCAAACTGTCTGCTAGTTATTTTATTTTCAAGCTCTGAGGTGAACTACAGTATCTACTGCTGCTTTCAGTAGTATGGCAATAAATGTAACATATAATGATATTCAAACTCACATTGATAGCATTTTAAACACATGAATAAAACACATAATTGGTACCAGAAGTAAAAATTGCCATAGTAAAATATGCTGTTGTTTTGCTGCGAAGAGGCAGAAAATAGAACCTGCTTCAAAATAGAAATTTTGCGTGTCACTGATGGTTAAGACAAAACTTATTTTAACATGGAACAGATACCTTTCATCGTGTTGCGTCCAATGTAGTTAGGATACAGCGTAAAACCCTTCAGGTTTATGCAACATGCTGATATTCCTGGCCAGTTTTTTTCTTCGATAACAGTAGGATGGATGCTATCCTTTTACAGAGCTGACAAAATATGGCTGTTGATTTACTTCCAGAAAGTAGGAGTTTCTTCTCAACAGGTAAGTTTTTTTGCCACATGCTAACTCCTTTAAATTCACCTATTGCTTTTATAAAATACCAAAACATCAAATCAAGTACATTTCAACCAATCGCAATTAATATCTGCAATGATCTCTTTTATGTTTTGTTTTGAGGATTATTTTACATTGATTCCCCTGACAATGTTTTTACTTGTGTGATAATTCCCTTTAAAGGTTTTTGATGACATGCTGAATTGTCCATTTTTGTCCTGTGCATGTTTGCAGAATGAGGGTATAGTATGAATCCACTCCTTGGCCGATCTCAAGACATCGGTTTGTTTTTCTATTTCTTATTGCATTTCCCTAAAGATAAATCCGAAAAAATGACATTAAGCTTCACTGACTATATCAACGATCAACTGAGCATATTTAGCACCGCAAAGCTAGGTAGCATGAAATATTCAATCGAAATAAATACAATAACGAAATGCACGAGAACCATACCTGAGTGAAGTCCCAGTAAATGTTCATTCCTTTCTCCTGTGCATTTTTACAGTTATGTAAAGCCGGTGTGCTTCCACTGCCAGGATCCGTTAGACAACGGTTAGAATTATAAGTGTGGGATTTAATGCCACCAATGTAGATTTCTCCATTTTGGTTGTAAAAACAATACTGTGAAAGAAGATGACATAAATAAGGCTTTGAGGATGTCGCTGCTTGTAACAAATATTTAGAATTACAGTGGGGGAAATAAGTATTTAACACTTATTCAGCAGACTTCAGCAGAGTGTAAAAATCTTGATGTTCTGTGGGTCTTTTTAATTTTTATTTTCCACTGAATTCAAGTCAGGCGATTGGCTGGGCCTTTCTACAGCTTGATTTCTTTCATTTTAGACCCAGGCAGGAAAGACTTCTGGCCCAGATTTGGCATGAAGTTGGCACAGCAGGCATTTATCCAGCACTGGCATACAGCATGTGGGCCAAACATGGCCCAGGTTTAGCAGAGGTGGCATCGTCTTTAAGGTGGCACACAAGACTTGGACCAGATGTTAAATGTAGTATTTGGCGCAGATGTTTAAAATATATATGTGGGCCTCATAATTTTGATTTATCTTGACCCACATTTGAATTATTTTTAAGTAAAGAAAAAGTTACTACCAATCAGGTCGCTTTGAGAAAATAGCATGCCGATAACGTGCCTAAAGCCCAGTGCTTCATGGGTTTATCAATTTAATTGCAGTCGTGACACACCAACACATCTGGACTAATTCTGGGTTATTAACTTGGCTGAGACTTGGCCCAGACATGATCAATGTTTGGCCTTTGTCTGGAAGCCAGACTTGGTCCAGTCATGTACTGTAATTCACTGCGGCATGTGGGTCAAACTAAGGGTGATTGTGTGGGCCAGAGCTGGGTCAGAGAATTTTCTCTATGTGTGGAGTTTCCTTTGTTGTTTTGCATCATTGTCTTGCTGAAATGTCCACCCTTGTTTCATCTTCATCATCCTGATAATGTAGATGTTGGACTGAAGCAGCTGATACTAATTTACAATGAAGGGCAGAGGGTTGCTGAAGAATACTGAGAGATTTCAGCTGCTGCCTGGGCTTTCACTGCCTTTCTACACCTCCCTTCCATCATGTGTTCAATACTTTTCCCCTGGGTCATTTAATCTTATTTCACATAACGTAATTTGTAAGTTAATTAATATTGTTTTCTTTGCATATAAGAATTTCTTTGGTTGTTACCAACATCTGGTAAAAAATTAAAGTCAACAGCACCCATAGAAATGTGTTTTCTGAGAAAAATAGTGATTTCCCCCAATGTACTCAAAATGTACAGTGATGAATGCTTGATCCTGATTGGCTGATGAACATTCTATTGAGTGCGATTTAAAAGTCATGTGAAGTGCACTGAAAAACAGCCAATAGTGATTCATTTTCATTAGAGCTCTGCCAGAGAGAGTCCATCAAATCAAAAGCATATTAGGGGGTGAGACAGATCAGATACATTTGATTGGTCAGAAGATTTGATGAGAAACTCAAGTATTATATCAAAACAATTGCTGATGCCTTTAGGCAGAAGTGACAAACTGCAAACTTTGGTTATTTATATCTTCTAAATGTAATATCTGTCACTGTTTTGGAGCACACTGGCTCATGTAGATATCCTTAAGACTAACATATTAATACTGACATCCAGGGGCACTGCTAAACATAAAGCTCTACTGGGGCACAGCACCCCCTCGAAAAAAAAAAAAAAAAAAAAAAAAAATATATATATATATATATATATATATATATATATATATATATATATATATATATATATATATATATATATATATATATATAATAACAGTACTATTGTATTATATAATTATTATTCTAAATAAATATCAAATTAATTCAAAATGTAACTGGAAAACAATCTAAAGACACAACTGGAGTGATGCTAAGATAATTTAGGAAATCTTTTGCATGAATATTAATTTCATTAAAATGAAATCATACAAAAAAAGATGTTTTATAGAATTATCTGTTGTGTGCTGTCTAAGACCCACTCAAGGCTGAGAATTAGGTTTATTAAGTTGAATCTCCGACTTCATCTCTCCTTTCTGCTTCATACCAAAAAAAAAATCTAACAGGGGCCATAAGATCACCATCATATTATTTAAACTTTGTTTTGTCGACCTGCAAAACTCACTGCGTGCCGACACCTCTGCAACAAAGACTGTTACGCCAGACTGTTACACCAGTTTCACAATGCATGAACGGCATGGCTATTTTTCGGCGTGCATGTTCACAACCGGACCGGGAGCAGAGCAGCGCGTCAGCGATAAGTAGGACAAGTTTTTTCTGCGCACATGCTCAGTTTGCTTTGTGATTAAACTACATTGCTTTCACCAGTGTTGGTCTGGTTGCACATAGAGAATAAAGTCTTGATTCTGGGATTACCACTCTTAATAAATACACTTGCATATAAAGTAAATCGTATCTCAAAGCATTTACTGGGGCACTGGTGATTTTTACTGGAGCAAGTGCCACAGTAAATGAAGTTTAGCGACGCCCCTGCTGACATCTAAAAAACATCATTGATTTCACAGGGACTTCAAGTATATCAAGGCATGTCTTGACCACATTACACTTCCATATTTCTATGCCCAATTATTTGAGTTTTTTTACAGCCTACAACTGCCAAACAAAATCAAATAAATAAATAAGACAGAAGACTTTGGATAAGATACAGTAAGTGCAAAAAAATACTACGCACAAAACAATTGACAAATGTCTTGAAATGCCACTTCTAAAGATGTGTGTTTTAGGTGTGTTAACCATAGTATAAGTGGAATAACTGACACCAGTGACAGCATTGCCTCTATTTTTTCAATTTAACAGCCGTAATCGATTATTCCTTACACACAGTAAAATATACATATACAGTATACCTGAGGCTCATAGTAATGACATCCGTAGAGAATAGGCACACTTCCAGGAACAGGTCCTTGATCAATGCAAAAGTTTTCAAGAATGTCATTCTTCAACTATTGTAAGGCAAAAACAGCAGCAATTCAATGGTAATTAGTTTAAATAACATCTTCTTTGATTGGAAATTGTGTATATCAGAAGATTTTTTTATGCTTACCGTGCCATAAGCCATTATGCCATCCCATCTGTCAAGCTGAGGATAGACATTTTCCAGATACCATTTGAAGGGCTTACATTTGAGTTTCTCACGTAACTGTTTTCTTTCAGTCACATTACCAATATCAATCCCATGATCCTTTAGGAAACAGTTGTTTTATTAACCAGAATACAAATCTAATTATTAGTAACATGACTGTAAATTTAACGAATCTCAAAGCAATGTTTACTGTTACCTTCAGAGGCAGATTCCAGGCAATATTCACATTGGATTTATATTCATCCATCCAGATTTCAGCCACTCTCAATGCGTTTCGGATCATGGGTTTGCTGAGATCTGGTGAATAAGGCTTATGTGCTCTTTCAATGTGCGCAATCTTTGAACACGGCACCACTTCAACACTCCCACCACAGAGCCAGACCTGATTAAGTTATTAAATATAGAATATCAATTTAATCCAATCACTTTTTATACACATTTCTGGCACCACAATGTATAGTAATGACTTACACGTATTCCCAGTTCTACATTTTCACCACCATAAATTGTCATTCCATCATCCAGTGCTCCAATTTCTCCCAGGAACTGACGATCAGCGACAAGGATACCCATGACTGAGGGACTCCTAAAAATTTAAGATAAAAACCAGTAAGTTTTATTCAACCAATTATTCTTCTGCATGGTTTAACTACTGATTAATTAAAAAACTGATTTATTTAGGAACAAAATAAGCAACCAAGTAAAAAAAGCATTTCACAAGCATTCAAAATGCACTACAGAAAGTGAAACTGCTCTAAAAAGTGGCACCACTTACTTCCCTGGTTCTGATGGGTCATTCAGTTTGTACCATTCTGGCCGAAAGGACTCGTACATGCACCAAAGGCTCCAGTCAAAAGCATGAGCAGCAGGATTATAGTTAATAACCTCCAGTGTGTCAAAGAGCACTTTGTCGAACACTGGTGACAATACAGTTGTTCTGTTTGCTTTAATTCGTGCAAGTAGTGGCTCTGCCCTACAACAACAAAACAGTCAACTGAAAACTTTGCAGAAACAGTAAAGGCCCGGTATACTTCAAACAATGTTCCTTTTTATTCTTCGTTTGAGGGCAAAAAGAAGTTCAGAAACATTTTTTACATTGTTTTCTATCAATGTTTAGAAATTTAAAAGATGTTAAGTGACACAGTGGCTCTTCTTGTCCAGTGTGTGACCCCCACCGAGTCTTTAAAAATCTCTCTGAGAGAAATCATACAGGCGTGGATACATCTGTACCAGCTCTGATACTCGAACATCAAGTATATTCATGTTGCCAACTTGTTGATGTTGTGTTAGATGTTGTTTGACCCTAGAGTGTTGTAGACCCTCTCACAGAGTGTTTACTTTGGTTGAGCTGTTTCAAACTGCTGAAACAAACTCGAAACAAATGTAATTTTGGCTGGATTGTTTTTTCAAAATTACATCATTTTAGTTTGTTCTGCGTTTTCGTTTGATGTTTACCAGGGTCTTAGGACAGTTGTATTACTAAGACTGTAGTATGATTTACCATTCCTTATGAACTTCAATGTGGGCATCCAGAATGGCGACCACTTGACCTGTGGCAGCTTCCCAACCTGACATTCTTGCCTTGGCCAGACCCATCTGCCTTTTGTGTCGCACTTTCTTGATTAATCCAGGTTTAGCTTTGTTAATTAGATCAATATATTTGTTTAAAGGCAATTGCAGGTCCTCTGTAAAGAAGTGATTACAATAAGTTTAACTTTTGAAACTCAGATTCATACATAACACACAAACAACTATTTAAAGAAAACCTAAAAATGATTGCAAATATATGATCTGAAAATCCATTGTCTTAATTGTACTGCTTGAATAAATGAAATATAGCAAACAATTTGAGTAAAACTCACCATTAGAGCTGTTGTCGTCTACCAGGACGATCTCCTTTAGCAGATGAGCAGGAGTTTTGTCAATGATGCTGTGAACGGCTCTTTTAATGACTGACAGAGCCTCATTCAGATAAATCAGAATCACACTAATGGTTGGCAAGTCCTTAGGATAGATCTTCAGAGCACATCTGTAATCATAAGACAGATAAGCATGTCAATGAATTTCAATGTACACTTCAGTTTTAAAAGTAAAAAAAAAGTTTTATTTAATCCTTGTGGATTGTTAAAGTTTACTAATGATGATCAACAGTAAATAAAACATTTTAATTCGTCACAGAAGGGAAAACCACCGACAATCTAGAATGCATGATTTTATGGTGTCATGACTTAGCAATATAAAATTGTCATTATAATGGAAGTCAATAGAGCAAAAATAGCCACGAATTTATTGGGGGAAAAAAAGAGTAGTAAATTTGCCCAGAGTGTATCCGAATGTTATAACGTATGGAATACTGTTTCCGGGTCTAAGCCGCTACTCGTTTAAACTGAGAAAATATTCATTTATGACCATTTTTAAGTCATATCACACATTAAAGGGAATTTTATATATAAAATCATGGTTTACACAACAGTCTTTGGACCAATATTTTTAACAATTTATAAAAGGTTAATCACTTTCTGGCCATTGGATATTAGGCATGGATATATATATATATATATATATATATATATATATATATATATATATATATATATATTGCAATCGTGATTTTCAAAAGGATTACAACGATTTTGTATTTATCATACAGTGCGTTTTCCAAAACAATCGTTAGCCAACTAAGGTTGCAAGTTCCGTCATTACAAACATAACTTATTGACTTAGTGTTTCCCAAATTCGACACTCTAACAAACATTCGCAGACTGCGTTGCAAACTTGAGCACTCGCAACTACAGCTCTGGAGCTGTAGTTAGAAACATAGTTCCTGGCTGTGTTCTATTCCCGCTTATCCCCCCATGCCCTTTTCATTTAGAACATTCTAGAATTCAAAGTTGGAATTATTAAAAATAAAAAAGCATTAAAGTAAAGTCCTCTCTCTTGTAGGTATAATTTGCTTTTAAAGAATTTTTACAGTTCAGCTTTAGCGATCTTCTTGTTTACAATTGTGATCCCTTCGCAGTACACTTTGAAAACATTGATGTCATTTTGAACAAAGCGTCAAGGGAAAGCTATAGGTGACCTAATATTTAAAAGCGGAATTTATGTTACGCCTCCAAAGCTTGTAAAAACAAAAAGCATATGTTAATTCTTTTCATTTAAAGTAGGTTATTTATTAAGTATCTGTACTGTCTGTAAATGACATGGGGCTGCTGGTTAGAATTTTCTGCAGTGGATTACAAGTGTCAAATTATAAAAGTAGACTTTAAAAAAAAAACCAATATCATGCTTGATAATAATAATAATAATCATCATCCTCATCATTAATATTATTAATATTTCTGTTAAAGTATATATATATATATATATATATATATATATATATATATATATATATATATATATATATATATATATATATATATATATTTTCATTTCTAATACATAATAAATGTTAAATTTCATTTTATAATAAATAGCCTTTATTTATTCATGATTTATATATGATATTAGAATACGTGTTAGCTTTTATAAGTGATTTTATGTTTTAGAATAGGATATGTCATATTCTTAATAATATTTGTAAAGAAAACACAGGCCCTGTACTGTATGTGCCATTTACATATATTTCAAATAATGTAGAAAGCGAGTGCATGTTTTTAACAAATCTAATATTGGATTTTATTTTAAATGCATGTGCGTGTAGAACAATATCATTTGCACAAAGAAATAATAGGGTTCTTCTCTTAAGAAGTTGTTTCTCCGTCCTGTTTAGAGCGTCATTATGGACATTTATATAACTAACGTAGTTCAAGCGATGGATTTGCGACAGAGAAACTATGCGTTTTGGGAACACTCGTCACTACATCGTTCTTTTCCCAACTGATGCATCGTACTATGATAGTTCAGCCGCAAATTACGTCGTTGTTTGGGAAATGCACCCCAGTTTTATAAAGCGCTTGGACACGGAAGCCACTTTGTGTGGCATCACACTTAACAAGCAGATTGTTTTTTTTTTTTTTTTTTTTTTCAAAGCATTTTATGAAAATGTGTGTCAAAATAAGATTCGTCACCAAAAACCATTCCATTTGCTGAAACACAGAGAATGTTGTGTCTAAATTAAGACTCAAAATCACCCAAGAGCACATGTAAACATCCCCAGCAGCACACATGGGTTAACATGGATGATGAAATGGATAGTGCACCCAAAAACATTGTGCAGAAATGTCACTGTGTGACAAGACCAATTGCTTTCCTTCATAAAACCTCAATGTAGCGATTGGAGTCAGGTATTCATTTTCTGCAGCCTTTAAAAAAATAGCCATATCGTTGACTTTTACAATATAGACACCTTTTATATATCACCATAAACAGTATGATATGTTATAATAAATAAATAACACACAGACAGAAGTTAACAATATTCATAAACACAGGAAAAGTACCAAATCTGCAAATCATCAAAGCATTTTGAAGGATCATGTGACTTGAGTATTGATGTGAAACTAATATCCAAAGAAGATATTAATCCAAAACAGTTACCTGGGGTCTCGAGTATCAGGGATTGTTCTGTTCAAGGGTAATCTGTTACTGAGGAAAACATTGTATCCAAACTCCTGAAACAGTTTCTCTGCTTCCATCTGTTCCTCCTCTGTCAGTTCAGCTCCCCATGAACTGAAGAGCGGTGAATTCGGATACAACTTCTTCACCTCAGTTTTCTTTGTAATTTTCTGTCCCACAGGAGCCTCTTTGACTTTTTGACTTCTGACCTCTAGAGCTGAACCAGGAACAGTATATAACCATTTACTTAAACTTTCAGCCATTAATTTTGTTTTCAGAATGTATGTAAAGTGCACAAACTCACCTAAATGATGAACTTGATCTTCTATTCTCTTCAGTCTTTGAAGAACATCCAGATCTTCTGCCCTTTGTAACCTGTTGCCTTTACTCTGTTCAGGTCTGATAAAAAACATGTACACGAGACTATACAATATGCAACCAATAACTAACACGCCAACTCTTGTAGCAATTTTCATTTTCAAAACATCTGTGGTTGTGATAATTAAGTATAAACCCTTAGCTAAAGGTATATGAATGCCTGCTCATAAAGTTATACCAACAAGCGTGTTCACTTTATCTCTGAGATACGGGAGTGGTTAAAGCAATTGCTGATTAAAGTCAAAGTCGCATAAAGTCAAAGTTCCTGCAGTAAACGTTTAAGTTAATGTCGAACTTAAAGGGATAGTTCAGACCAAAAATGAAAATGTACTTACTATTTACTCACCTTTAAGTGGTTCCAAATCTTTTCAGGATTTTTCTTAAATATGTTTATTTAATATATATTATGAAAATATACTATAGTAATTTATAGTAAATACAGTAAAGTATTTAAACCATTCTATAGTAACATACTTGAGTGAATCATTTGTGGTAATTCTGTTTGCCATGCTAATAGGCAACAACATCTATAGTAATATAAACAACAAAATACTCTGCAATCATCAATCATTTCGACAACTACACTTTTAACCCTTACTGTAGATTATGCAGTAAATAACCGTAAAATAGCCAGTGTTTTGCTGTAATAACAGGAAACAGTATTTGACTATAAAATGAGCAGGATTTGTATGAAATTGTGTAGTGCAAAGAATAAGTGACAGTAATTTACTTTATGTAGCCATTACAGGTAACTGTGAAATGGTAAATTACTGTTCAACCATTACTGTCTCATCTACTCTGATGCTTTATAGTGCTATATATATATATATATATATATATATATATATATATATATATATATATATATATATATAAAATATATTGCATTTATCTTAATGCAAAAAACAATGCTTTAGACATTGACACACACATACACAGGATGTCTGTCTTATTTTAAACACAAAATCTTGAAAATTGTGTTTTCAGAATATGTTGGTCCTTTAAGGGAGCCAGGTGTTTGATTACTTTAAATACTCCCTTCTGTGTTTAACATTTTAGACGCAGAGTCTGATGTTTTAATCCACAAATACAGTAAGTAAAATGTGTTCAAATGTTTTTGAGGGTTTGCAAGTCTGTGTAATAAGGTATATTGTTGTTGTCTTGAGTCCTTGAAGGCTACATTGTTAGATAGTTAGCCTCTCCTCATATAACTTCTTACATTACTTTTATTTAAGTATATCTATTCATTGGATATTGCCTATTTCCATAATGTACAGTCTTTTTGGCAAATAAGCAGATTTTTTTACACATAAATCTCCTGTTAGGTATAACCTACACAGGAATCATCACAGGGATTTGCAAACCTCTACTCTTAGGTCCCAGGTTGTGACTTTGTTGCTAAGTATTTTTCAGAGCTGTGTTTCTAACTGTGAATTCATAAGGACAATAGAAATGTTTGTTTTCTTGAACATTTTAAGTAAATAATCTGACTTTTTTTTGTTGCCGACTTTATTATTGTTTTATTTTTAGTTTTTACAATTATTTTACACTTTTTATTGAGAATTGTTTTGAGCCTGTTTTTTGACAAACCTGTTTCTAACCATATCTAGAATAAGTATGTGTGTGTGTGTTTTTTTGTTTGATATGCTAAACTTAAAAAAAAAAAAAAACTTAATGAAGTATCACTTTTGGTCCTTTTTTGTTTTTAACCTGACACTATTTTAACCTTGTGAACCAGGAGTCAAGTAATGCCACATTAAAGCTTATTCAAAGGTAAGTATTATACTATAAATGAACAACATACATTTCAAAGTAAAAAAAAAACAACTCTCTCTTAAACAGCACTTCCATATTTTTTTTGCAGAGGCTCAATGAAGTTGACTGGAAAACATCAATTGAAGTAAGTAAAAGTGGTATTTCTAGAATAAAGTGTTTCTTAAATAAATTCATAAATCAGGTAATTTGTTTAGTTTTTTTTATTGCTACAGGTTTGGAACAACATGGGGATCAGTGCTGAATGATTTTTTATTTTTTGCTTTGGATGAAGTTTGTTAATTAATTTATATTGTTTTTCTTTTATTGGATATGTGATTGTGATAAATGTTGGTGGTTGCTTAAATGTTGTCAAACTCAGTTCCAATTCCAGCCGAGTTTAGTTCCCACCCTGCTTCAACATTACATGTAGACTTCTAATAAGCCTCAATTAGTTTGATCAGGTTTAATTAGAGTTAACGCTAAACTGTGCAGACCTGTGGCCCTCTGTTATAGGTTAGATGAGATTTAAATGTTTGACACCTGTGCTACTGTATATACACTGCATGTGTTGTTAGTTAATTGAACCTTTTTGTTTCATTGTAAATAGAAAATGTATTGATACCTGCTGATTTCATTAATGCTGTTATACATTTTCTGTTGTGTATTTGTTTGCTGCCAAAACAATAAAATACATTTGTCTGAAGAATCTATATGCTTTCTAATTTAATAACACTTAAGAATACTGATTAATTTTAGTAACTGTACAATAACTTAATATGACATACCATTATTGTGTATGCGGTATAATGATGTTATTTGTAACACTACAGTACAGTAAGTACTTATCTGCAGTTTCCAGTTAGTAATTAACTGACAAGACTGTTGCCAGTTACTCACTGTGACCAAACCATTACAGTGAGTAGCTGGCAACAGTGTTGCCAGTATTGCACTGTAAAAAGCCTGGTAAAGTCTAACAGTGTAGGGTATATTATACCTGCAATACACTACAGTGAAAACTGCAGTAAAACTAAGTATACTACAGTATTTATTACAGTTTATCAGTTTAATATAGTACAATTTGCGGCAGAATTCATTGACAACGTGTTGTAAATCCTATAATATAAAGCGTATAATACAGTTTATGGTTCACCAACACTATTGCTACAATGTACCATAGTATTTTTTCATGTGGGTGTACATGCTGCTTTCATGTTTGTATTAATCGAATTTGTGTATACACTTGGCCTGATAACATACGCCATATCTGCTAAACTTTTTTAGTGAATGAATGATGCTCTCTCTCTCTCTACCTGTTACTTGGTCTTGTAAAACACTTGCTTCCGGCGCCTGCTGGTGAGATAGAGTAAAAGCAGATGAACACTATGCACCAGTACTCTATTATATTTTTGCAATGTTGAATGTTCTATCAAATTTGAAACAAGCCGAATTTAAAATAATGGTTTTATTCAACCATGTAGTATACACAGAAGAACACTTCCTCCTCGCTTTTAAAAAATAATAAATACCTCAGTATTCAAGTATTCCCACACACAAATATACTTTACTATACTGTAAGATTTACTATAATAAACTTTAGTATACTGTAGTATATATGAGCGAGTGTGATATTGCGTTTAGACAACAGTTCAACGTCATAAAGGTTGTTTTAAAGGTTATGAGATCTAAAATGCCCCTGAACACTCACACATTTCCTTAGTAATTTCGTTATTATACTAGAGTTAAGTGTAGTACAAACACCACAACAAATGACCAAATTGTTGCAATTCACTATGGCATATTTACCAGAGTAAAGTTCAAAACACTACTCTAATTATTTACCATGGGAATTTTATCTACACATTCCATAGTTGTTTAATCTAAAATACTATGGTATTTTAAAATATAGGTCATACTGTCACCTCTTGGTTAAAGGTTCAGGACACACTGGAGAACTTTTTTTTTTATATTAACAGATTTGTGTGTGTTGAGCATCAGTTAAGACAATGTTAGCACCTGTCAGCTTTAATTGTGGGGAAAACTGGATAATTTTGAGCTTTGTCAGCTAATTTCAGCTTCCGGGTTTTAAATGATTTTTGGGGCGGGATCAAAATCTGCGACGTAGCGCAGAACTGCAAGTGCAATGATGAAGCGTCGGTTTCTCATTATTATTCATAGCGGAGTTTTCTTATCCTATGAGAAGAGCCGGCTGCTTAATTATTCATGAGACCTGCCAGACACGGACCCACGGCACACAGTATTTAGCCGTTCATGAAGGCTCATATGCCTTTTTTTCCATGATCCACGGGGTTTGTTGCATGTTTTTCCCCGCGATCTTGTCAGGGCAGATCATACAGCAAAGCTGTGTGTGTGCTGCTAGCATTTTTGTCGGGAGAGCAGCACGAGAATTAGAGAATAGCAGACGCTGTCTTTTAGCAGAAGTTCGTTCACATTCAGACACATCACTGTGCTGCTGTGTTTGCCTAAATCCTCCAGATTACCAGCAAGGCTAATGGTTAAAATAGACAGGTCAGGAGAGCTGCTGCACTGAGTCTGCTGGATTTGGGAATTGAGGGAGAAGTCCTCATTTATAGGGTTTACATGAACACACTTATCTTTATAATGATATAAATTGTGGTTATGTGGATATGAAATTACGAATAAAAAATGTAGCAGGGCATTAAATCACTGTTCATTTCTTCGCATTTTAACTTTGTAAACTATAAACTCATGCGTCTCCTCACGGTTTGTCTCATTTTGTGAGCTAACTGACAACAACAGTTGATCGCTCACGTTCTCCCCTGCTGGCTACGCCCACTCCTGCCTGATGCTCGCGGAGCTCCACGCCCATTAATCATGCATCTTTTGAAAAAATTCTGAAGTAGACTTTAACCGAAAGTGGGGGGTGTCATGGCCCTTTAAACAACAAAACACATTTATGCTTAAACTCCTCCAGCTTAAGTTAATTTTCTGAGAACAGCGTGATAACCAGCCTGAAAAAATTCTACAGTCATTTATAGAAAACACTATGGTGTTTTTCAACCATACTATAGCAAAATAACATAATTTATTTGTTGCCAATTCTATAGTTAGCATGGTAATACAACAACTATATTAGTTAGGTTTTTTCAAGCTATCAATATTATATTACTATACAGATTTACTGCAGTAAAAAATAAGGTATGCTGCAGCATTTAATACAGTTTATCTGTAGCATTTATTAGAAAATGTTGTAAATACTATAATATCCACAGTATAAATGCACTTAATTGTAGTATAAACTGTAAATTAATATAGTGTATTTCATATAGGATATATCTTGCAATTATTTGCCAGATATTACATCCCTTGCTGAATTTCAGCAGGGTATTACTCCTTCTGGGATTAAATAAAATCTATCAACAGGACCTGTGAACTTTTGCTGCTCAATTTTCATTTAT